GCTATTCAATTATGGTGGATCCCTAAGTAACCCTGGGTTAACCTATACTGAGTCATGGTCATGACGACTGGATAATGACTGGGGTATCCCCATGACAAAACGGAAACCTCCAAACGAAAAAAAATACTTACTTGGGGATGGGTCAAAACTTAGAACGAAACATATTACTATCATATTTGGGGTAATAAGCATCCATTAACCAGCTATGACCATCCGGGTACCATCCGGGTACCAGGGTTTTGACCCATAGCCAAATGACCTCCCAATAGCTACCCCAAAATCTCAACCCACAGGTGGTCACGACCCACAGCTTGGATTCCGAGCCCCACCGCCTCTAAGGCTTTTTTCGCCAAAGCCAAGGAGAGAACTGAGAAGTTGGGTCATGGATACAGCATGTGGGATACGCAAGGGTAGTATGTTTGAGCAACTGTAGTTATTGGGGGGGCATACAATAATTACTATAGTATGTAGGGGCTATAAGATGGTATAAGTATATATACTTATTGGGGAATATAACTATAGTTATTGGGATATAAGGGATATTCAACTAGATATATAATTAACTTCTATAAGCAACAATATTAGTTAGGAAGTGGTGAATGACCCATCTGGATGAATTTGATCATGATCCTACGTCGTGACGTCACACTGATCTGAATTGGGTTGGTGAAATCATCTCCTAGACGGCCGCAAGTTGGTAGAATTCGAGGTGTAACTCACAACATGATTTCTGGGTGTGTCTTTCAAAAGAGGAAATGAGGTTTATCATCAGTTTTTTGGGTACCCGACTTTTCAGGCACACCCATGTATGTATATAGATTATATATATATATACATATGTATATATGTAATTCTCTTTGGAGCTGTTTGTGGTATGACCAGTGATTTCGCTGCAATGTGACCGAACTCGCTTCCTAGCCACGAGCGACAAACCCGGAATGACAAGTCAAACTGGGGCACTCCGTGACTCGATCCATGCGATGTTTGGGATTTATCAGCCGGCTAGAGCTATCTACTTTACCTTGGGTAGCATCCCAAGATGGCAATATCTGGTTGGTGGTGACTGGAACCATGGAATTTTATGACTTCCATTTCATATATGGGATGTCATCCCAACCCCATTGACGAACTCCATCATTTTTCAAGATGGTTAAAAGCACCAACCAGATATGGTGTTCTCCATTCAGAGGTCGTTTTCTCGGTATCGACTTTGCAGGCGCTCCGCATGATGCCAGCGCCCATGGCAAGGGGCTGAGTCGACTCAGTTTTGCAGAGCGATGCTTCATGGGGATACCCTCTACGAACCAAACATGGCTGGGAAATCGCGGAACGAAATGATGAAATGGAGGTTTATAACTCGGACAAACATTAAAAAGACTGGTTTTAGCGGAGGGTATTTTTGAGAGCTGTAAGATATCCATTTTGTTTGGATGTCTAGGCAAACTATGTCCACTGGCCTCTGTCAGATTTGTTTCTCAGACCATTGGGGTGGCGAACTCCAACAACTGTGGCCTGTGTTGCTTGGGATTTAGCAATCAAAGTTGCAAATATAGATGAAGTTGGAGGAAGCTGAGAACTCTGATCAAGGATCTTTTCATGGATCTTAGAGATTGAGATTAATTCGAATATGAAGATGATTGAACATGTACGCTGCAACCCCTAGGTTTGCCCGCGGCCAATCCCTCATATCCTTTGACATGCTCAAATCCCTGCGCAGGGTTTAAGTTTTTTACTTTCCAAAACAACAAACACCAAAACCCTAAAACCTAAACCCCTAAACCCTAAATTAAAACTCTAAATCCTGAAAACTTAAAGTCAAAATCACTGCGTATAGCCAGTGTTTTCATTCATCCTCTGGTGAGAAGTATATCATATTGTTTGGATGTGTTGTTTAAGTGTTGGCGAACTAGGGGGTTGCGGGGAACATGTAGTATAAAGACTGGTTAGTGGTTTGGAACATGTTTTCCATATATTGGGAATAATAATCCCAACTGACTAATATTTTTCAGAGGGCTTGAAACCACCAAACAGAAGATGTGGCATCAAGATAGCAAGAGAGCAAGCGAAAACAGTTTATTGAACTACTGTAAATTGGCAGTTTCTTTTGGCTCCGGCACATCGCGCGGAAAAATGATGGTTTAACCATGTGAAATGAGGATATAATGGAGATATAACCAATGATGATTCGCCTGGTGGTTTCAAAGATGTTTTATGTGCAATCCTGGAGATGAGATGGTACTCCCAACTGGCTAATGTGTTTCAAGAGGGTTGACACCACCAACCTGAGAGGGAATCTGTCACTGCAACATACTGCAACGTTGTTTCGTCAGTTGTGTTTGTCAGTGTATGTACCCTCTGGTAAGTGGATTATAATCCCATTAAACCCCATTAAATCCCATTAAATTAGCGATGTTAGTTTACCAGGCCGGGTAAGCATTGCAAATTCCATGGGTTGTGCTTTTGGGACGATGATAGGACGATTTTGATCTTGGTCAGAGCTGAGCGCCAATTATACTTCTCCCAAGCATCCTACGACTTGTCGATCCATGGCAAAAGCTGCCAGCAATCTTTCACAAATTTAATATAATCTATATGTATATATATATATGGCACATATGTAATCATCTATACACCATTTTCAACCCCTAAGATACTCATCAGAGGAATACTCTTTGGTTGTACTGGATTGTGTGTTTTCCGGGAGTTGTTTGAAATGTTTGAAGTTTCGCTCGCACATTTTAGTCCACCACAGTCCGACCTTTGAGCCAAACCAGCAGCTGCCTGTTTCATTGCCAAGAATATTTCAGATATAGCTATTGCCCACATAATCTTCAAATATATTGGTGATGAATGTCGCAAATTATGATCAAGATAATCCACAAGAATCCGACAATTATCCAATAATCATCCAATATCATCCGACCAATTTAATGTGGCAATCACATGTTCCCATTATGTGTCGAATATATACAGATAATGCATGTCAGTGCACGATAATCAGTATTTATCCGAATAGTATCCAATCATCGTTTGAAACTAATATAGTAAGTAAATGATGTAACAAATATGGTTGTATCATATAGATCATATGTAAATAGCAACCATACTCTATTTACATCACATATAAAACATATGTCCAATACTATCCCATAATCCCAAATAAATATCCCAATAGCCCCATCAATCATTATATATTTATATATATGGTTAACCACAAACCAACCATAATCAGCCTCTAGCAGCTAGGTGTAGTGTAGGGAACCATATACTGTATATATATATACATATACATATACATATATATATATATGGTTGAGCTTAGATATCATATCATATATATAATATAAACAGATATAGTTACCCATATATATATATCATATATATATATGATATATATATATACATATCTCAGATATATGTATATATATATGATATTTATATATACATACATATATATATATATGATATATATATATATGATATATATATATATATATGGTTGAGCTTATATATCATATCATATATAGATATACATATGATATATATATAGTATGGCTAACTATATGGCTAACAATAAGTAGGATTTATGGTAGTTATAACCATAGTTATAACCATATATATGTATATACATGCTTAATCATATATAGTGTTTATTCTGTTTCTAGATGGGTTGGTTTCTTTTTCCCAATTCCCCAGGGCGCTTGAGCATATATATATATATATATATATGGGTAAATTATAACGACCTCACTGTTCTCCCTTACTGGAATCATTGTTAATCAGGGAAATCATCCCCAAATGGCCTTAATTCAGGTTAGTGAAATATTGCAATTTTCCCAGAACCATTGATAAGGAGATAATCCACAGACACTGGCATATGATGGGATATAGGTGTGTCTGTAAATGGGCTGTTCAAGATTATGGCAATGGTTTATAGATACAGTTATTGATTCATTATAATTTTCCCATATATCAGTTAATTACTTGGTAATTGACCAATGGTATTATCCACTCAAAAATGATTACCACTTATATGATTCATGGTATTATATATGGCTAATATATATATATACATATATCATATATATATATATACATATATCATATATATATAATATATATATATCATATATATATCATATTTATAGATATATATATATATATCATATTTATATATATCATATATATCATATATATCATATATATCATATATATCATATATATACATCATATATATATATATCTCTTATATATATACCATAAACCCTAAACCACTATGGTTGTATAACTACCATAAATCCTAGTTATTGTAGTTATAAACCAACTTGACTATCGAACGGGGGCCCCGCATTGTGTATATATATATACATATATATATACATCCAATACTATCCCATAATCCCAAACATATATCCCAATAATCATTATATATATATATATGTGTGTGGTCAACCATAAATCAACCATAATCAGCCTCTTAGTGTATGGAACCATATATATATATATACATCTCATATTATGGCATATTATACAGTTATGGCATATTATGGCCGGAAATGCCAATGAAAAAAGTGATTATAACTGTTTTTTTTTCTATGGGATTATACATATCTATATATATATAGAGATAGTTAATCATAGATCAACCATAATCAGCCTCTAGCAGCTGGGTGTAGTGTACGGAACCATATATATATATACATGGTTGAGCTTATATATCATATCATAACCGTAGTTGTAACCATATATATATATACATATAACCATAGTTATAACTTATACTGTAACCATAGATATAGTTAACCATATATTATATATATATATGGCTAACTATGTATATAATATTAGGGCATATTATACATTTATGGCATATAATTTATAACCATAGATATATATATAGAGAGAGAGAGATAGATAGATAGATAGACAGATAGATAGATAGATAGATAGTTAACCATATATCCCCTTGACGGTTTTGCCCCCATGATTTGCTTCCCGCCATGGGCAGCGGCGCCTCGGGCAATGCGGAACGCCGCTCGGTGGCCTCGTTGCTGAACGCCGCGCGGATCGGAGATGCCGAGGGGGTGCAGGCGCTGCGGTCACGTTTCTATGGAAAATGAGATTTTACTACGAATTTAGGGGATTTTAATTGGATTTTATGGGATTTTACTTGGTTTTTTATGGTATTCTAATGGATTTTATGGTATTTTGACGGGATTTTAAGCCGATTTCATAGGATTTTATGGGAGTTTAATGGGATTTTAAGGGAAAATTATGGGATGTTAATTGATTTGTTTGAGATTTTACTGGGATTTTATGGGATGTTAATGGGATTTTATGGGATTTTACTGGGATGTTATGGGAGTTTAATGGGATTTTAGTTGGATTTTATTGGGATTTTAAGGGAAATGTATGGGATTTTAATGGGATTTTAAGGGAAATTTATGGGATTTTAATGGGATGTTATCGGATTTTGTTATCCACAAAAAATGGGTCCTGACCCTCCGGGGATGTCAGGATAACTAATGATAATTACTGTATCTGCAAAGCAGGAGTTTTGGATTGAAATCCAGTTTGACTGTTGGTTTTGAGCAAATACGGGAGGGGACGACCTTGGAATACCATGGTCGGGTGATGGTTGAAATCAGGAGATCCCATTTTTTCGGCGTCCAAAGCATAACTGGTTGGTGGTGACTGGAACATGAATGGATGATTTTTCCATATATTGGGAATTTCATCATCCCAACTGACGAACTCCATCATTTTCAGAGGGGTGGGTCAACCACCAACCAGAAATTGTATTGAACCGCGTAACTGGCGTAACTGTGACAAAACTAGTAGATTTTCACAGCGTAGGCCAAAATAAAGTATGCGCAGAAGACAACAGGAATAAGAACCGAATGCAGGCACCTAAAGAAATCATCCAAAACAAATACTTACAACATCTTACAACAGCTCACTGGGCTTTCTCCACAGCAGCTGTTGGTGTTGGGCATGACCATGGTCAGCTGCTGGCAAACAGCCATTCGAGAAATAATCTACATTCGTCAATTCTTCAATTCTTATCGTTTTTGTTTGAAAATATAGTGTTTAATTGTGTTCATGTTAGTTATTTTTCTTGGTCTTTGGTTTTTAAACGTATGATGCTTCAATGTATTTATTATTTCTATTTGTTTGCAGACAAAAGCCTTGCCGGCTGCTCACAAACACTATTTTCTATGACTCTTTAGAAAAAGGCCCGCCGCAGGCGCCACTTTGCATGTGGACTGTGGCCCAAAAAGCATTGATTCCATCAATCTGAAAGTGTTTTTACTTCTATATTTGTTATTATATGTTTTTCATTTTTAACATTTTTGCTATTGTTTTATCATTATTATTATTATCATTATGATTTCCTTTTTTCATTAGTGTGATATTATTTACTTGGTATTCTTATTAGTTTTGTTATTATGTGTGTTTAAATCATGTTGTTTACTATTGTTGTTTATTTGTTTTTTGTTTGTTCTTGTTGTTTTTTATATGTGTTTTTTACTATATAATATATGTTCTGCCAGTGTTTGAACACATTTTGCGCGCAAGCCATTTGGCTAAAGAAAGGTCATTTTGGAAGAGCATGTTTGCAACAGTGCGCTTTTAGAAACGGGTAGGTCTGACATGGTTTCCTCCTAGTCCTGCACTTTGTCACGTCGGGAAAGCACACTGGACCCTGCCAGATTGCCAAGTTGATTAATGGTCGGGTGGATATGGGGGTTTCCATAAGGATCCCCAAAATTGATGGTTTATAGTTTATCAGGGAGAATCCCAATCTAAAATGGATGATGACTGGGTGTACCCATATTTTAGGAAACCTCCATATGCTGGTTCAGCCCGTTTATTGGTTTTTTTTTAGGTTTTAAGGTCTTGACCAGTGAACCAAAGGTCCCTGGGTAGTAGTTCAGGCTGTGAAAAACATAAGACGAAATCCGGGCCGTGTCTCCAAATTACTTGCGCAACCCTTTTCAGCCAATGATCCCACCACATTTGATTTGATGTATTTTGCAAACTGCATGCACCTTATTTCCGGGGACAGACCTTAAATACAACCCCGCCACCTTATTTACGAAAGTTAACAAGGGATATATGGATTAATTATGGGATTATGGATATATTATTGTGAGTTTATGCATTATAGAATAGTAAAAGTTCAATAATCTAGCTATATATGGATATATGGCATATAGATGGGTTTTTTGTGGGGTTATGAATTATGCAAACCATATGTAGAAAATATTTGACTTACATTCTGTAAGTATACTGATGCTATGTTTTTATGCTGTGAGGACGCTATCATTAAGAGACAAAGTGGTCACCTTTGAATATCTTAAGCGATGTTTTGATGTGTCAAACTCGACGAAGTTGTCAAAGTTACCTAGCGCTAAGTCCTCTAACCTTTCCCAAATAAGTTACCTAGTTCTAAGTCCTCTAACTTTTCCCAAACTGTAACTGGTTGGTGGTTTCAAACATTTTTTATTGTCCATTTCATATATGACTCATATTTTTCAAGATGGTTATTGCACCACCAACCAGTGATGTGATTATAATGTATTATAATATGCTTGATTATAGTCACTTGGTGATAGCTACAGTTACAACTTATATCATCTTATATCCATGTTTACATAAGCCTTATAACTAGTAGGAATGGTTATGAACCTTTCCCAAGTTCTAAAAATGCCAAGGGTTCTCTGCCTGCAGATTCTCTTGGCGCGTGGTGCAGCACGAGACGCCCGGGATGCCGAAGGACTGCTGAAGGGTTGCCATGGGACATGGGACATGGGTAGGGTTAATTAGTTGATTCAAGTCCAGCAATAAATGTGTTTTAGATGTATTTTTGGTTACCCTCTGGTTATGTCAATAGTTTGCTATTGAAAACATACCCCATTTATAATTGATTTACCTATTCAAAATGGTGATTTTCTATAGGTATGTTAGTTTACCAGAGTTTATATGTTGTTGGTTTGTTAAGGATCATTCCACTACTCTAACAGATTCCAACCGTTTTTGGTGGCCCTGCCCGTGGCTAGTTCGAGGACGCACGGCGTTACATTTTGCATCCACCAAGCAGACGGCGCGAGCGCTGTTGCGAGCACTGGCAGATGACGCTGGGATGCAAGCGGAAGCCAGGTCCCACAATTGGCCACAATTGTATATTATTGTATATATATATATATATATTATGCATGATGTTTTTTCCCATGACATGCATAATATACCATAATATAGATTTTCATATACCATAATACAATTGGATACCCGGTTGGATCATAAATCATAGGGTAAAACCCTTGAAGTTTCAGGATTGAGGCCCATCACCCTGGTTAGCTTGTACGGTACAGGCATGGTGAGGATGATGGGGTAGCCTGAAATAAGATGGCAACTCTCATGAAAATATCATTGAGTCATATTAAGTCTGTCTATTTTAATCTGTAGATTATGGATGAGGATGATGAGGATGATTGATTGCTTGATTGCTTGATTGATTGATTGATTGATTGGTTTATTTATTTATCTATTTATTTATTTGATGATGATGGTGATGATGATGATGATGATGATTGTTTTCAATATGTTCACCACCAATTGAAGCATGATTATCCCCTGTGTTTCGGAAGCACAGAAGTCTCACCGGTGACACTGCAGGTGAATGCTCCAGATGTCCACGGACAGCGACCCTTACATCAAGCAGTGCTGAACAAACATCAAGAGGCACATGCTTGTTTTTTTTTTGCATCAACTATAGTATAATTATATCTGGTTGGTGGTTTGGAACTTTTTTTCCATATATTGGGAATTTCATCATCCCAACTGACTTTCATATTTTTCAGAGGGATTCAAACCACCAACCAGATATAACTAGAAATGATGGTAAGGATTGGGGTAACTATCCCATGGCACACCTTGAGCCAGGCTGCAACTTTCCAGAAGTTTCCCGTGGACAACAAGTCATCTCTTGTCTGCAACCGATCATTCTAGGTAAACGGAACTTATGACCAAGCTTTCAATGCAAACTGGCTCACAAAAACGTGAAGGAACTATGGGAAATGAGAATTGGATACGGATACGAGACCGAGTAAAAAACAGAGGACGCATGGAACGACGGTATACATCCGGACGAAGGCCCAATCCTGCCACAATGGTTGCGGGTTTGTTGGAAAAATGGTGGATACCGGCGATGACACTGGCAATTTAAGATCAATGGGAATTCCAGGATCCTAAAATGGAGGTACTGTACCATATTCCAGGCCATATTTTGTGGGGATATTCCCTGAAACTAAGGCCTAAAAAGTAGGCCTTATATATGGAATCGGTACCTCCAATCAATCGGTTCCTGAGTCATGGCCATTGATAAGAATGCATTTTGTGTTTGTTTGGTTAATAGTGGTTAATAGTGGTTAATGATGGTTAATCATCCCATGTCTATCCCATTAACTAATTGTCATGACCATTCCATACCATTCCCTCCGTTTATTCAACCGTCCCGGCAGGTGCTGTCGGAACTGTTGAAAGCCAACGCAGATGTGGACGCGCGGTCCATCACTGCAAAGCACATCGAGGCCATTTTTTGCATAGGATCGGTCCAGCAGCGCGGTCCTCCGAGTTTGATGTATCGATTTATATCGATTTATAGGGTAATTAGTGTATATAAAATGGAAAGAAATGATGATTTAAGCGTAAAAATCGGCAGACATGGCGATTTTCTCTTTGCTAATTATGCTAATTGCCACTGAAAATGACCATGGATATGATAGGTAAATCATCTAGAAATTGAATTATCCACAGTTGGATCAAAGGGTTGCATACGGGTTACTTTGTGAATCACTTGCTAAGTGGGATGCACATTCAAACAGATTCGGTAAGATATGGGATTTGACCAATAGAAACTGAGGACAACTGAGGTCTAATCCCGCGAAAAACATGGTGATGATATCACGCAAAGCACTGGGGATAGCTGGTTACAAAGTCTGGTTTGTCCCAGTGTCATAGATGGAAAGAAAACAAGTTGCGGACTTTTGATCATGTTTGCTAGCTAATTCCAAGTAAGAAGCATAAACAATGAAGTAGCAAGACTTGCGACTCGGAGAATACTTCTGTCCATGAGTATACAACCATGGAAACATGTTGACCATTACAAATTAGGTCGTCAGTAGGCATGCAAAGAGATTGTGATTGTTGATATGTCTGTTGGTCGACCAAAGACCGGAACATGCTTCACCTTTTGGATCAGAAAAACATGTTCCTGACTGTGGTATCTCGAAGCCATGTCCTACTCAAAGAGTCAATCAGTTGGTGAAAATGGCAGCCCAGCGAACAGAAACCAGGTCTTTCAGTCTTTTTCAAGTCGTGCGCGCCGCGACATGTTGCAACATGCAACTGGTTGGTGGTGACTGGAACCATGGAATTTTATGACTTTCCATATGTTGGGAAGAATTATCCCAACTGACTAATATGTTTCAGAGGGGTTGAAACCACCAACCAGGCAAAGATGGAATTGGCAGCACTTCTCAGAGCGCATTTAGATGAGAAGCTTCGGCCTTCCAGTCCTGCAAAAGAATCCCCAGCACAATGTGCGATGGCAAGGGGACTATTTAACTTTCAGAAGGGGACACCCTGGGAGTGCGGTTTTTCACTGCATTCTGCAACCACTGACACTGCACATGTGCGATGGTTCTCTCACTGCTTTGCAGCCATTGACAATTCTGCTTGGTTTTTCTGGAATGGCTAAACAAAACCAAAATCCAAAAAATTAAAACACCAAAAAACAAAAACAAAAAAAAAAAACAGGATTGCACCCTTGAAGGGGGGGTGTCGTGGTAAGAAGCGAAAGAGCATTCTTTAGTACTGCTCACAGTTTCAAGCATATTGCACTTTTGAAAGGGATGCTCTATATCAATAATACTGCATATATTATGCAGAAATATTGACTTTTCAGAAAGGGGTACTGCTCCTTTGAAAGGAGGGTTAGACATCTGGAAATGCACACTGCACTCCTTCAAAGGGCATGATGCCACTGTTCAAGGAATACTTCATATTTTGTTTGGATATTGTCCCTGCAAAAACACACTGCATTGCCCCAAAGGAAGATTACTCTTATTCAGAAGGGTATGTTTGTTTTGAATACTGCATTTGTTGGCAGGTATGGTGATGTTGTAATGATGTTGAAGTCATCTAAATATGCAGAAATTGTGTTTTGTTGAAGGGACACTGTAGTAGCATTTATCTAAGGTAGAGTGAACACCTGGGCACTTCTTCAAGCAATACATGCTCTCTAGTGGACATGAACACAGCTTCATTTGTAGCTTAACCTTTAATGTGATTACAGTTCGGAAAAAAAAAATAAATAAATAAATAAGTGCACTCCCACAGCGTCCTGCTCTCTAAACTTTTTGGTAGTCAGTTTATATATGCTTATATATATATAGATAGATCTATTTTGAGCTCCTGACTCACTGTGTATTTGCGTTGTGATATGTTCAGACTTTTCAGCGGATGGTCTCAACTCATTATGAAGTTGGGTTGCGACACATTTGTTCATTCTGAGACGTTTGCATGGAACCACCAAGCCTTCCAAGTGAAACAAACCCGACATGTAGCGGCTGTCCAAAGAGCATGCATCATTATTTGTGTATTGTTTGGGTGTTTGCATCAGTTGAGATTTAGGGCAGTATAGGATAGCCTCTGGTAAACTAACATAACTATGGAAAATCACAATTTTCAATGGGAAGATCCACTATAAATGGTCATTTTCAATAGCTATGTTAACATAACCAGAGGATAGCTGAATGGTTTGTTTATGCTGAAGATTAGTTGGGTATGCCGGTCCAAAAAGAAAGTCCCCGATTGGACTTGGAGACTAAAATCCAGGGCCCCTGGGGCGGGCTTGACTTTCGACCCATCACAATGTGAAATACCCGACCTGGTAAACGTTGCCACATAACTATGGAAAGATCCACCATTGTTCATGGGAAAATCAACTATTTCGACTGGGCCATGGCTTCAAGTTCGCAAACTGTTAAATCACCAGGCCGGGTATCTCTTTGGACTCTTTGGACTTGGCGATCTTTTTTTCCCTGGCAGGTCCATTTGGAACGGCCATCTTTGCAACAGGTGCAGTGCAGTGCACGCTGGTGGACCACTGAAAATTCACTACCAAAAAGTGCCAGATTTCAGGCATCAGCATGGGATTTTCCCACAATCTGACGATAAAATCCGACTGTTCAAATTAACAGTTCGACCCTTGGAAGCACCACTTTTTTTGAAGTGAATCTTCCAACCCCCAGGGTCCAGGGTCTTTGTTCGGCCCCAGTTTGCCGATTTGATCATATCTATAGGAATACCCATATGTTATCATCATGTGGGAACCCATGATGATTCCCCATTCTTCCCATTCACAATATCCATCCATATACCCATATTATATCCATCCAAAAACCAGATTCTTCCCATATTCTTCCCATATTCTTCACATTTTTGGTTCCCACACGTTCGCCCCACTGGAGCACCAGGTCTGGGGGCTCCAGTGGCGCCCCGAGTTCTTACGCCGCCAGCGCCGCATCGTGGAGCAGGTCTTGGAGCAAACGCCGCTGAGTGCCGCGGCGAAAACGGCGATTTTTCGTTGTCCCAAAGGGTGGAGGAAACACCGGTGAAACACGGGCGAAAACAGGTGAAGACCAGGCAAAATGATGCACTGGTTGATGGTTTGGAACCATGGAATTTTATGACTTTCCATATATTGGGAAGAATACTCCCAACTGACTTTCATAGTTTTCAAGATGGTTAAAACCGCCAACCAGTGATGCAAAATGAGTTGATTTTAGATGATTTTACCAGAAAACTTGGTGTCAACCGAGAGAAGATGTAATTCAAATGATCAAATATAGGGTAGGCACTGGTAGGGACTAAACCATCGCACATGATAATGGCTCAAAACTTAGGAACTCACAATGAAAACCACAGGATTTCGCCTGCCCAAGGTTTTTCCCCGGCAACAGGCTGTGAATTTCATCAGGCACCGCGATTTTCCCATATAGAGACCATCATTTGAAGGGCATATTAACCAACATGAGGATTTAGCCAGGAGTCATGGCTGGTTGGTGGTTTGGAACATGAATTGTATTTTCAATATATGGGATGTCATCCTTCCCATTGACTAATATTTTTCAAGATGGGTAAAACCACCAACCAGAAACTGCGCTATGCACGTCATTGAAACTCATTGAAAGAGCCATTGCAAATGAACATCCATTTATGATGTGGTAAAGATGCATGTATTTACTCCAGCAGCGATGAGTATATCACCTACCACGATGTTGTTTAGCCATATCTCAGATCAAAACCCTGCTAGCCTGTAGTTAACATCAAGATGTTTGGTAATTCTGATGTTCATCCTCATGATATCGAAAATCGTTGATTTTGGACCATGTCTATCTATGAGCCTAGAAACATAGTGGCAAAACCAATGTCACTCAACCAACAAATATTGGCTAACCCACAGATGAATGGTAGATTAATGATGATTAATGGGTGGTGAAAGGGGGAGATAATAACCATTACTCATTAATGGATCATTAATCTACCATTCATTAATGATCATTACGCTACCATTAATCACCCATCAATGATTAATGGTTTTTATCCATTCGGATCATTCAGATGGAACATAATCCCTAGTCCTAGCCAGCCCTTCCTGGTAGACGGTGCTGAAATCTTAAGCCACTTTGATGGAGGAGTATTTTATATTCTGGAGTTTCCTTTAAATACGGGTGTGTCTGCAAATGGGCCAATGGGGTCACCCCAAATGGCGGTCTTAAAAAATTGGGAAAGTGAAAAAACCTGTTATCAATGGCCATGACTCAGGAACCTAAATTGGAGGTACCTACCATATATAAGGCCTATTCCCATTGATGTTATAACTATACCGTGGATGAAGGGTAGCATTTTTTTTTCAGAAGCCATAGAATTTCAGGGTGGAACTCTGTGGGACCTATAAAAATTTCTGCCACGGTCACCACTGACATCAGCAAGCTTTAACGTGTACCTCGTGAATCATGATCTCGTTGGTGGTTTGGAACATGAATTTTATTTTCCATTTCATATATGGGATGTCATCCTTCCCAACTGACTTTCATATGTTTCCAGAGGGGTAGGTATACCACCGGATGTAATCCCAACCCCATTGACGAACTCATATGTTTCAAGATGGTTATTGCACCACCAACCAGTGATGCTTTGGAACTCTGGAAGATCATTTCGAGGTCGCTGGAACGATGAACAGAAAGCAACTGGCGCAGAAATCCTTCGCGCAGGCGCGCCTTTTTCAGCCCAATGTTTAAGGTAAGTTTAAGAAGAAACATCTCTGGACATGTGGTATTGATATATGTAAACCGTGATAGTTATGTGATTATTTTTTATGATGGCCATTCCAAGTGAAATTACTTCACATATGGAAAACCAATGGAAAAACCATCCTAAATTTTGGTAGAGCCAGGGATGGTGATGATGTCGACATCAGTCCGCTGGCTTCACCAGAATGATCGGTGCTGTCAGACGTTGTTTTTTTTTTCGAAGACTGGGATGATGCACCCCACTAACTCATACTGTTTCTGAGTTGAAATCACTTAAAACCACTTAAAAGCATCTAAAAGCATCTAAAAGCATCTAAAAGCATCTAAAAGCAGTTTTAGTGCTTGGAACCAGCATTTTCCACGTGTTTCTTTACATTTTTGTACCACCATTGGGTTTACCATTGAGTTTTTGAGCTGCTGTGGCTTGAAGTTCTGAGCGGATCGTGTTTAACAGGTGCAGAGTTGCTGGAAGCAGATGGGCAAGCAGGATCCGGAGCACAACAGGCGCCGGGATTTGGGTGCAATCAATATGGATATATCATTACCCTCCGGTAAACGTTAGCGAACTGGAAAATCACCATCTTTAAGTTCGGTAAATCAACGAACTTTCTATGGGCCATGGCTTCAATAGCTATTTTGACATAACCAGAGGGTATATATTCATTATATCATTATATATTAAACCATTCATCTACTCTACTGATGCCCGCTGATAAATGGTTTTATAGCTGCCATCATTTTACTTCGATGTATCTACATGTATCATCATGTATCTACCACTCCAAGTTGACTTATTTCAAGCAACTTGGCCATTCCGTTTGGCACCACTACTGGCACCGGTGTTCGTGTGTTTCCCCACGAGGTGCTCCGCAATGCTCGCAAACTCCGCTTGCTCTTTCGCCAAGGCGGGCTATTGGATCCCAATGAATCACCCGGCGGTCATCAAACATGGCTTGGAAATCCCTGAAATTTGACGGCTATTTTCCAGAACTACATGGAGGATTTTCCAGAACTACCCCGGTTTGATTTCCAGAGGCTAGCATTATATTATTGTCAAATTGTTACTAGCATTATTACTACAGATCATCACAAAATTATATTAAATTATGATATCTATATTGTTATGATTCCTAATCATATCATTGCGATAAATGTATGGTGTTATTACTGACACATGTGCCTTTTGATAGTCTTAATTATGGGGTAAATAATTGTTTACTATCATGAACAATTTTGATTATGGTTTATCTGTGTATAAATATTCATACAACATGAATACAACCTTTCGAATGTTATTTTTAATCTATTATATAATTATAGTTCTAGGTGTTGTTATTGATACAACATTAAAACTTTAAACCTTCGTGTTTGAACATGATGACACAGGAGATCCTCTCATCGGAGATTCACCGGTGCACTTGGCAGTTCGACAAGGCCTTCACCACCGGCCGGGCGCTAGGGATTGAAACAGCAATCATGTGGTAAACCCAAAAAGGATATATATTAACAATATGATGCGTAAGTATAATAAGTACACTAATGTATAGTAGTAATAATAAACATATTCAGTATAAAACGTATGATAAGTACAACAAGTATAACAAGTACAATACGTGGTAATCATCCCGAATAGGGACGGACAATAAACCCCATGTTTGATTGCCGGAGGGTATATCTGCGTATATCCTGGATATAGTTCACTACCAAGAAACAGTAGAAATATCCAGTGGTTATGATTGTCCATTTTTTCATTCAACCAATGTCAAACATGGATGACAGGAAGCAGTGGTTGACGATGGTTTTTTTGTAGAAACGATCCCCCGGATCCCCCCCCCCCATATCTCTTGATACACCATTATGTAATCCCATATTATCCAATATATTCCATGATTATGTAGACGGTATCACAGTGCTACTGGGACATAGGATAAACAAGAATTTGCTCCAAGGCATGTATTATGTGTATAGACATATCACAGAAAATCCAACTATATCCCAGAATGCCATATACTTAATCCCATCCCCGTACTGCTAAATATCCCCCAGAAACCCTGGTTTAATTCGGCATGTATATATATATGTGACAAGTTAGGCTGTGTTTAGTATTCTGGGGAAGATGGAACAGGACATGAAACCATCCTCCCATGTTGAGACAAAAAAGGTGCCTGAAATTATTGATGAAATCATCCACTGTTTCAAACGCTCTTAATGTAGCTACAGATCGTTTCAACATGTGGCAGATGCAAGTCGCAGCAGTGGTAGCAATAGCTGAAGATGAACTTCGTTCTGGATGCTAGGGCCTGCTCGGGTTATACTCTGCTCGTTTCTCTGCGCATCATGGCAGATTCCTGAGTCTCGCATCCCGTTGACAATCGAAGTGTCAAGCTTTATGAAAGCCTCTTCTGCCAAGAGAAGCCTGCGGAGCGAGCAAATGTTGAGGATTGTTCTATTAAAACTAAAACTTAAGAACTCCATTTGGTTCGGGGATTGGCCAGCTAGCCCCAAGTTTGATGCGATAGCAAATGGTATATCCAAGAATATTCCATGAAATTCCATGATATGTCCATCCCCTTATTATAAATCATACCAGCATTTGGGTGTGTCTGAAAATAGAGAAAACCCCTTTTTACCCAATGGTTTTGCTGATCATTATCCCGTTTTTAAATGGCTATTTCATTGGGAAGATTAACCCTATTTTCAGACAAACCCATTTATTCCCAAGAAAAAGTCCATGAAAAATCTCCCTTTTCCTCCAGGCGACGCCTCGCTGCTTGCGCAGTTGTTGCTGGCTCGGGGGGACCCCGACGCCCTGGGAGCTGGTGGTGAAACGGTGCCCTGGACCTGGCCGGACCTGGCGAAAATGGTGATTTCATGGGATTTGAATGGGATTATAGTCATAGTTTAATGGGATTTAATGGGATTTACTGGGATTTACGGGGATTTAGTGGGCTTATCCTCTGGTAAAAGAAGAGTTCGACACTGAACACCTATTTTTTAGTGGAAACTAATCTTACAAGCCCTATCTGGCAGGGTCTACGTTAATTTACTGGAGAATATAATTGGATTATCATGAGATTATAACTATAACGGTTTAATGGGATTGAATGGAATGAGAATGAGATTATAAGGAGATTTACTGGGATTGTTAATGGGACTATAATCGAAGGAAGTTTAGAAGTCAAACTTCCGACAATATGGACAGATGAAAACCAGAGATGGCAAGAGTCAGAGATAATTGAATAACATTGCCACCTATATATATAATATAATATAATATAATATAATGTAATGTAATGTAATATAATATAATATAATATAACATAATATAATATAATATATAGTCATGTAGTTTTAACATGGTTTTTTATTTATATGTTAAACAACATTATATAAATAAATGTATAGTTTAGGACTTTCATGACTTTCATGTTCTCTAATCAATTCGCTAGAAATGGTGATATACTGTGAAGATATACAGTCATCCTGTGTGATTTTGTCTCAAGCGAGTGTTTACAACAAAAAATGGTGAAAGTGACTCAGACTCACGTTATGGTACAGTACATCCTTTATAAACACCTTTGGAATATGTATTGGTGGCTCTAAACCCAGACTTTTCATACATCGTTTGGTGGCTCTTTGGATTGGCTTAGCTCCATGGCCACCATGGCATCTAATCGAATCGCACTTCCCGGCAAGGCCTTCGAACTGGCAGCGGGAAAACCTGAACTGTTGGAAGTGCCGGGCTTCCCATCAGTCATCGATGCGAGCGGCGCCGGGATGTTTTTTGTTGGACTCAGGTGATAGGTGGATTATGTGGCCATACACTGAGAACTTGGCTGTTTGAGAACTTTTTGTGATCCGATGGGGTTGCCTCATACAGTATATTCTGTGATGACGTCGAACTTGATGCTTTACATCGATACAAAATGGAGATGCAACTAAGCACAAAGGCTACATTTCAATACCATTCATAGATGGCTACGATATAAATCAAGTCACGATCCCACAAAATCATGACACGTCAGTCTCTGGTCTCGACTTTGGTCAATGATGTCACCACACTGGATGTGGATTTAGCGATGGGTGTGTCTGAAAATGGGCTGGGTATACCTCCAAAATTGTCATTCTTAATGGGAAAAATGATAACTAACTAACTATAATTTTTTGGGACAAACCCAGATCAACTCAAGCACACACGCTGAAAATGTTTGACCCCCCACAGATTTGTGCGAGATTTGTTTCTTTGGACCCACAAGTCCGAAATTCAGGATCACTGTTGGCATGGAGCCCTCTGGGATAAGATGGGGTTGCTAATATTGGCCTAGACCCACGTAGAAATTCCAATGAAATTAGGCAAAGCTTCTCTTCGACTGGATGTGGAAATGATACAGACTCACTAATTCTGACCAACTACCTCAGATCTTTACTTCTGTGGGTCGGACCGCGACGAACCAGATGGCACAAGTCCCTACAATTCTGAACCACACCCAAGAATTTGATGGCATTTCTCAGAAAACGTTCACTCGCCGGTCGAAACAACAATTCAATGTTTGTTTCTGGTGCAGTTTCCTTCGTCACATCCAACATTGATATATGGTTCCTTGAAAATGGAGTATTTAGAACCATTCCATCTCTTGCTTTGAAACCTGATTTGCTCCATTGTGATAGCCATATCTTGATGATCTTGGCAGTAACACGGACCATTTCCTGCCAGATCGGGGGATTCGCAGAGTGTCTGTTGGGACTAGTTGCTAGTGGTCAATTTTGGGGGCATAGGTGGTTCATCCTACTTAGTAAGTAGATCTGGTTGGTGGTTTCAAACATGGCTTTTATTTTCCATAATATATGGGATAATCCTTCCCACTGACTTTCATATTTTTCAGAGGGGTAGGTCAACCACCAACCAGAGATTGTAACTCCAGTAAGAAAAAGTGGCCGGTGGTCCTACCACCAAGTGTGGTTGTAGTGGTTAAGAAATACCCACCGCACCTAGTGAACTTAATTAGTGGGTTCAGCCCAATTCCTAAGTTTCCTAACCGTGACCGTAATAACACATTTATACATCGGATAGCCCACTGAGTGAGGACCTACCAACCAGGGGCCCATTTTTTCCAGTTCGGATTCGTGAGATGATCTTCCAAGTGAGCAGGAACCCAAAGATTTGTGGCCATATCCAAGTTTGGAACATCATCTTTCAAAGCTAATAAACAACTTGTTAAGATTAGTTAAGTATCTTAAATCCCACTATGGGTGTGTTTGAAAATTTGCGCATACTCCCCAAATCACATTTTTTCAGGAAAATAATGATAAAGGACTGAAGTCTGGGGTACACAGGGTTTCCTATTTCAGACAAGCCTCTGTGACTTCTAGAACTTATAGATTAATTTGTGGATGATAATATGAAGATGGAGTAAGAACCACCAAGATAAATGAAGTGTTAAGACAGTGTAAGTACCCTACTCATCCCTACTCCACTTATATCTCTGATCATATGACTTAAAGACGTGTCTTTCATACCAGTGACGTGGAATAAGAACCACCAAGTCATCTCCAAAAAAAAATCCTAGGCTCTCTACCTGCATGGCCTCATCCTGTTTGGAGGCGATGCGGTGGCAAGTTCAGCGATGTCATAAGCAACGGGCATCTGATTTTTTTGTTAAACAGCTCAACTATGCTGGTTGGTGGTTTGGAACATTTGGTTCCCATATACTATTAATCACTGGTTGGTGGTTTGGAACATGAATGGATTATGACTTTCCATGTAATTAATGGAGAATGTCATCATCCCAACTGACTTTCACTCACTCCATCATTTTTCAGAGGGGTAGGTACACCACCAACCAGATTATTATTAACCATCATTAACCATATTAGTAATAACCATCATCATTAACCGTATTATTAACAGTATATTACCAACCAATGGTAGGTCAACCACCAACAATCAACCATGATCAGCTCATCTATCTATGCGATCCATGGAACTTCGGAACGATCGATCATCCTAATGGCGACGCCCGATATTCATCAGGGGTTGGTAACTGTCCCATTTTGGGAATATTGGACATCACCTTATAGTAGCCATTATAGACCATATACCTAATGGTTGGGTGATGTTCAATGGGGACATTTAATGACCCATGTTCATGTCAGGTTGAACATGTCGTAACTACTCCGAGATTACCAAAATGATCCCCACCGATAAAGGGAAAAAAAATCCTCAAATTTATGCAGATGACCTTCCGGTAAACTCAGATAGCTAAGGAACATGCCGATGTTTTCGCTATGTTGGTGTACCATGGCTAGGAATTATTGACTGAGATTGACTTACCATCTAGTCATTTAACATAGCCATGGAAAATCCATTATAAATGGAGGTTTTAATGGGAAAATCATCTATAAATGGGCCATCTATACCATGGCTATGTTAAATAACCAGATGGTAAGTGATGGATAAGTTTTCCATAGGAAATAATTCCTAGGTAAGTGTACCATCAGTCAATAATTCCTACCATCACTTACATCACTTACCATCAGGTGAGTATTGTTGGTGTACCATCAGGTATTGATGAATAAAAAAAAGCAGACTCCATCAGGAAATGCCTTGACTCTTCTCCGTCTCCAGGCCAGCCACAGGCGACTCACCGGCACCGTGATATTGTTGGAAACGCGGGCACCGGTGAGCCACGACAGCCATCAACATCACCAAGGTATACCCTCTAGTAATTTAACATAGCTATAGTGAGTTTTCCCATTAACATAGCTATACCCTCTGGTAATATTGAAAATGGCCATAGAAATAATGAGTTTTCCCATTAAAAATGGTGCTTTTCCATAGTTATGTGGCTGTTTACCAGAGGGGAACACCAATCATTACATTGCGATATAATGAGGGTATCATGGGTCAAGTCCATAGGCACAGTCGAAAGTCGTGAGTCAGTCCAACGGAGTGTATGTCTATGCACATATATACATAATATAATATAATATAATATACTATACTATAATATGATATAATATAATATACTATAATATACTACAATATACTATACTATACTATAATATAATATAATATAATGTAATATAACATAATATAACATAATATAATATGATATGATATGATATAATATAATATATATTTATATATAATATATAGTATAATATTATATATAGTCCAGTTTATAGCTTTGACATGCCAGTCGCCAGTATAATGGGTTTCATTCATCATGATTGGTTTATGGCATTGTTTTGGCCACATTAGTACTATAACTAAAAGAAACCTTGTGTTGCTTAGACAATCTTAGATATACTAGGATATCGAGTTTCCATCGTCCGACCGCTATCCACTGCCAGGGCTCTAGGATCTCGAGCAAGCTACGGGCCTGCAGAGGCGAGATACCGTCCAGGTACCAAGGGCGAAATTTGAGGGGATATACCGATATACCCACAACATCCCACAACCATATATAGTTTTATAAATGTTGAATGATGTTGTATGTCAATATATACCATAAAAAATAGCCATTTAAAATATTAGTCATATACTCCCATAACAATATACCCACATTGTATGGTACTAATAGCTCCACGATATTGAAATGGATCCTGGAGCCAGGTATGTCGGGATCTTCACTTAGCAGCACAGGAAGGAGATGCAGAGACGGTGGTCCCTCGACTCGGTCGGACTCGGTATGGTCCCGAGAGAAAGCCGAACTCTTCAGGTGAGTGAATTATTACCCTCTGGTAAATTAACATAGACCCTGGCAGATAGGGGTTGGAAGATTAGTTTCCATTAAAACTAGGCTATTTTCAGGGTCTATGTTAATTTACCAGAGGGTATAATACATGAATTCCCAATAATTCCAAGGCATTGTTTCAGGTTAGTGAGTTATTATATATGTTATTATCATTTTGCTGTGACATATGTATATATATATATGAAATCCAAGGCAATTCTGCAAGATACAGATGAGGAAAAAAATATCTATGATTCTCTACGCGTTTTGCATGTAATTTGACAATTGGTCCGGTTTTGACCGCAGCTCAGGAGCAATTGATCAACTCATTTGCTGATGTCGATGGTCGGCATGGCACTCGCACCTTGCAATTGGAACTTTTGCGCGAGCCTGGTGCGGGAGCTCAGTGGTTTTCGTGAGTATCGGGGTCTTGAAAACAGATAAGTGTTATCCTTAGAAACTGGATAGATATGATTACATCGCTTTGTTATCTATGTGTCAAGTTCTTTTTTAGTGACGAGTATTTCACACCACACCACTCAGTTGAATTTACCTCCCTAATGGCCCCATGAGGATTCATATGCGCGCCTTCGGTTTCAAACCACAATTGCAGCTGTTCAAAGCCAACGCGTTTCTCTCAAATTAAAAAAACAAAAAAGTGGCAGCCTGGAATTCATTGATTGCCAGCGTAGATTTTGAAACGTTCAATCTATTGTCGATTGTTCTATATAGATTTCCAAAAACCTACGGAACAGCCCTTTACAATCAGATGAACTTGAACAAACCTGGATTTACAACTTCCACAAGAAAATGGGCCAATTAGAAATTCAGGAGGCATGTTGATAATCAACCGGTGTGGTTTTGTATGTTCCTGTTTTCACCCGAGTTTTGCAGTCCCGGGATAGAAGTCATGAAGCTGAGGCAACCTTGGATTTCTCTCAATTTCCTTGAACAAAAAGGATGGAGTGCAGAATCCATTGATCGAAAGGTGTATATATATATAATTATATATATTTGTACAGCTTCGGTTTTTGAGAGATCATCTGCCAAACGAAGCAAAACTGCTGAAAGAGACAGGACATAAACGGAAACGTGAAACATGCCCGGCGCAGCAAAGAAGTTTAGGAGGTGCGCAGCTTAATTGAAGCAGAGAAAACATGTGAAAGTGAAAGTGCATGGTATTTAGACGGGCCTTCTCTTAAAAATCGTTGTTATTGTATGTTATTTAATGTTATTTATATTGATTATTTATCTGGTTGGTGGGTTTGGAACAGTTGGATTATTTTTTCCATCATATATTGAATAATATATTGGGAATGTCATCATCCCAACTGACGAAGTCCATCATTTTTCAGAGGGGTTGGTTGAAACCACCAAGCATCCACCGGTTCGGTGTGCATCACTGCCACGACATCGACGTGGACCTAACGTTGTCAGCGAGGGTGAATGAACATCTGTTTTTGTTGAGCGGTGTCAAAATTAAGGGCAGATACCCCCTGGTAAACTAACATAATATCATATATAACTGTATATAACTATGGAAAATTACCATAACTATGAAAAAAAAACATAATATTCAACTATTACTATGGTCATTTTTAATAGCAAACGGTTAGTTTACCAGAGGGTACCCAACATTGAAAAAAGTAAATGGCAACACTTGACCCAATTTCAGTATGCGAGCTGCAGATGGCACGTGGATCTGGGGAACAACGATGTGTTTTTGCGGTGGGTTCTTTTGGGGGTTGTTATGACTATGACTGTTATGTGTTTTACCAACAACTCACGAATGCCAACATTTTAATGTACATACTATGCAACTCTGAAATATTTGCTCTGTGGATCTGTATTTTGTTACCACAGCAAGGCTGCAAACTACATCCAACAACAAACCCCATGGGCCTATGTTGAGCCCATTTGGAGCTAGTGGTGGTATGTTGGGGCCCGGGCCCCAACGAATTTGGAGATTGTCGGGATGGTAAAATATCCGACCCGCAGGAGAAGAGCGATGGGGCTTTGAATGGAAAGATCACCCATCGTGGCTTGGTGAAGATCTTTATGGGTGAAAATGCATCCAAAGAACGCGAGAACCGGAAAAAACCATTGAATGATGCGCCCATTCAAAAGCCATGTTTGTGTATACTGAGAAGTTATGTTGTTCATTAATCAAGACAGCATATCAATTTGGACAAGTTCCGGTCCCGCTATATGAAGTTGCATGGCATGGGTGCCGAAACCAAGATCATGGTTTCGGCACCCTTCGTGGCAGCTGGTCGGTTCAGAAACTGTCCCTCAAGATGGCTCACAAGATGTCGTGAAGAAGGGGAGATTGATTTTTTGGGATAAGTATATATAGAGACTAATATAGAGACGTTTTCAAGAGGTTGTTGTGACAGGCCAAAAGGGCGACAAGCAAGAGGTGAATACGAAAGTGTGGGCATGCATATGTGAACCAGCACAAATCGCTGGCGTCTACATATGATTTGGCAACGAACGTATATATTAATACCTGAAAATGTTGGTGTGTACATGTGATCACGTGATCTTCGACAGGTTAGAGTATTACAAGTGATTAAAAACCGTTGCCAACGTGTCTATACATGTATCATCGCAGATGGCAACCTTCTCGTTCCTTATCGCAACCATTTTTTGTTGCTTAAATGAAAGTTTTGACTTTGTGGGTCCATGTTTCTCACATCAGTTTGTTTTTAATGGAAGCGTGTTTTTTCTGAGAACCTCATGTTGTGTCCTTTGATGTTGGTTGAATTGCTCCAAAACTCGCGGGTTTTCTGATATCCATGGATATCCCAAGACAGTGTCCCATGGGTTTCCCTATGGGTTTCCCTATGGGTTTCCCATGGTTTCCCCATGGTTTCCCCATTAGAACTACCCTTTTTTTGGATCACCCTGGGGCGCTGCTTCGGAAAAGGCGCCGGATCCTGGAAGGCATCGATATGTCCAAGGCGAGTCCCGCACAACGCTGGAATGAACAGACGCCCGGACGGGATTTTTTACGGCGTGGCGGTCTGCTGATGTGATAAATTACGATGGCAGGTTGGTGGTTGATGTGATTAGTTATGTTAATATATATATATATATTAATATATAGTACTATGATTGCTACAGTCATCTTGAAGATGGACTTGGAGATTTCTCAAGCACTTCACTAAAATAGGAAGATGTTTTTTCAAATCCAATATATTATCTGGTTGGTGGTTTGGAACATTTTGTTTTCCCATTAGTATTGGGAATTTCATCATCCCAACTGACGAACTCATATTTTTCAGAGGGGTAGGAGTTGGGTTTGTGGCACTGATTCAAACTCACCAATGGAATGGGGTAGCTAGTAGCTAACATGTTCAGAAGCGACCCGCTGGGGTGTTTTCTGGCATTGAAAAAAATTTGGCATCCTTTTTCCTGAGGCCTAGACCCAGAATTGGGAATATCTTTGGATATCTTTGGTAAATACCCGAAATGAATAGAAACTAAGGACTGCATTCTCAGGTTTGGGCTTGAGCTTGAATATGGATCAAGGGGGGCGCTCTAGGTATTTATGGGATTTTACTATCCTGCTATGTAGGGGCTACGACATAGCCCCGGAACGTGGAAACCCTATCAGATCCTATCAGACAGATAAATGGAATAGAAAGAATAAAAAGAAAAAAATAGGACAGAATAGAATGGAATAGAAAAGAACAGAATTGATCAGAATACATTAGATTTGTATTTAGATTAAATTAGAGTGGACTGAGATAAATAGATTCAATGGAGATAAATATAGATAGAAAGTGATAGACTTACCCTCTGGTAATTTAACATAGCTATTGAAAATGGCCATAGAAATAGTGAGTTTTCCCATTAAAAATGGTGATGTTCCATAGTTATGTGGCTGTTTACCAGAGGGTATTGTGATCTGTGTCTTGCTAATTCCCATGAATCCACCGCAACTCGAGGAACTCATCCCTGAATGGCGAGATTCTACGCCGAGGCGACCGTGGAAACTCGTTTTGGGAAGCGAGCGACTTGGAGCCTCTGAGTTTGTTGAAAGTCCTCAAAAAAAACAATTCTGATCACTAGATTAGTGTGTGTGGCTTATAAAATCCAAAAAAAACCTCTAATTTGAGTGAAAAATGCTAACCATTTCTGTGCGGGCCACCTATGTTTTTGCGGGGAAAGCTCCATGAATTCCAAGTTTCTTCCATGGGATGAACCGCTGAAAGGCGATGAATTGGTGGAGGTGAATGGTCGAAGGGGATGGCGGGGGATCTCAGCCGGGATTTACAAAAAGCGATGGAAAGATCCACCATTTTTTTCATGGGAAAATCCACTATTTCTATGGGAAATCCACTATTTCTATGGGAAAATCCACTATTTCTATGGGAAAATCCACTATTTCTATGGGAAAATCCACTATTTCTATATGGGAAAATCCACTATTTCATGGGAAAATCCACTATTTCTATGGCCATGGCTTCAATAGCAAACTGTTAAATTACCAGAGGCTAGACTTTTTTTGGGTCTGGAGGTGATGATTCATGGGGGGTTTCCTGAGAATGCAAAATCTCCAGTCGTCACCATAGGTTTCAAATGGTTTCAATACTGGAATGGTGGAAGTTTGGATAATTAGGGGTAGCCCATGACTTGGGAAACCTCCAAATGGGATCCAAATGGGATCCATACAGAGTAAACTGGTCTGAACCATGTGAATATTTCTACAGACATGGTCGGACTTGAATATGTCCAACTATTGAGTAGATAAAATATGGAAATAGTCAAGAAAAACTCACTAAAATATGGACCGTGAATACCATATGAGTTAGTTGAAATATAGTCCTACAATTTACTAGAAAGTCAAGTCATCTTGAAGATAGGATTGGAATAAGTGGAAATGTCTCAAGCACTTCACTAAAATATTCTGGTGGCTTCCAGATGTTTGACCAACTCACCGGGACCACAGCTTTGGGCGTCTTTGATGGACCAAGTTTCACCCAGAATCATATGTTTGGACATAACAGTCATTACTATGGGATGTATATATAATATATATAATAAATATATTTATATATATAATAAATATATATATAATAAATATATATATAATAAATATATATATAATACACCCTTTGGAAATCAAAGATATCAAAGGAAAGTCACTTGTGTAGTGGAAGAAATGGTCGTTTTTCATGGGTCAAAGTGGATGCTATGATGTTGAATCCCCTTATGAATACGGCTGGATTTAACGCCGTACTCAGTACTCCAACAAAAAACTGTGTATAACATCAAGTGAAGGGATGGGGTAACACCATATAGCCTCCCTCAAAATAGGTAGATGAGCATCCCAAGCAAAACCATACTAGTTGATTTGCGGATGTGAAGCGGGGTACAGAGCTTTCAGGTTTTGATCCACAATGACATAGGGACTCCAGACAACATGTTCTAGGGTGAGATAGATGTGTCGTTCGCAATATTTTCAAGCTATTTTACTTGTTCAATCTATTGCGGCGCCTGGCCAAGTCATGATCACGTCATGGCTATGATTGGTGAGAAATCTGGTGAGATATTTGGATATATTTGGCAGACGTTTCCAATTTCAGATGTCGTTTTTACATTGTTTTTACCATCACTGGTGTTGGCAGACTGCGAAATGCTTGGAGGAGAAGCGATCCAATCATTGGTTGTATACTCATCTGCACTGATTGCATCCTCATTTTTCTTGGCCTTGAGTCTCCATTCCTAGCATTTTCTCGAATATTTGTTGGTCAAAATTTGGAATCCTCTTGATGGTTTGTTTCATTGCTTGATATTCCCATGAATTTCCATGAATTTCCATGAATTTCCATTGACTCCCTATTTGTTGATAGTCAAGCCTCCATATCGGCATGTCACCAGTGACACCGATGAAGTTGATGATTTTCCACAACGATCCCCACCGGGTCTGTACACCGAGGCATGAGATATCTCAACTGCGACGTTGGCATCAGGCGCGCAACTGACGTGCCAAGCTTGGGTCAGACTTGTTGAAGTCGACTATCTACTGGCTGGGGATATACCAATCCCAAATTCATGAAGTTAGGTAGTTTGGTGATGTTGATGCTAGGAAAAATTTGTGAACAGATCGGTATATCAATTTTAACAGATTTTTGTTAACGTCATCAATTGGTGATGTTGATCGGAAAAAAATGGTGTCAATGTCAACAATCATGATAAATTTGTGAACAAGACTATTGATTTCATCAACCAAAACGGTGATGTTACCAAGATGATGACTGTCGTGTTTTTACCCAGTGTGGTTTCGAAACATCAAAGAACATGCCTGGTTGGTGGTTTGGAACATTTGGATTATTTTTCCACATATTGGGAATGACTCATATTTTTCAGAGGGTAGGTCAACCACCAACCAGACATGCTGTGTGTAACATGATTTTGCTTATGGCATCAGCAACCAGATGTTGCTCGACTTTAGAGGTTTAGCAGCTCCAGGTGATGCCCAGCAATCAGAAGTGTTGGTTATCATAAAGCCGTTGAAAAAGCTTGGAAGATATATCGAAAAGCGCTCATTTACTTCCCTAATTCTATGATATTCATAAATATGGTATTTATATAAGTTATCAACTTAGTTTAAACTGTGGTTTAATATATTGAGGAGCTAATTAAGGTGGTATCATTATATTGATAACTAATATATTACTAATATATCAAGTTTTTAGTTATTAGTTCCCGAGTTTATATCTCGAAAATACCTTGGAAACCTCGAAATGAAGCAAATATCATTGAACTAGCATCCTGGTTTCACACGTTTTCAACCTTTTTGTTTTTTTTGGGGGGGGACCTATAATTATCCTCTGGTAAACATACAAAAAGCTATTGAAAATGGCCATAGAAATATTGAGTTTTCCCATTTATAGCATGGTGATTTTCCATAGTGTATGTTTACCAGAGGGTATAGATAAAACTAGTTATAAACCAATTATATAGATATATCACCGCAAAGCCAACCGTTAAGCTACTAATTTAAAGCAACTTAGCCAACTGAATTCCATTGATATCCCATGAAATCCTCTTAAGTCATAATTTTCTCTTGGTAAAACTCATAACTAAAACGCCATCAAATCCCATTCAATGCCATGAAATCATATTTGGTTGCTTGTAAGTTATAAAGTGGTAAGCCCAATGCCAGAAACCATCCCCAAATTTACTGTTTTTATGGATGGCAACCATCCCCAAATGGTAGGTTTACGGACTTGGGCTTAACATGTCTATTTCATGTTCCCTCAGTTAAAAGCTGGTTTAGAAACCCATTAATTATGCTTATATTCCCCATAAACCATAGTTTACCAAGGGATGTTCGCGCGTCAACTAGGCTAGGCCTTGGGATAAATCACCAGGTGACCTTGATCTTCGAGTTGGTCACTCACGAATCGCCTTTGGCCGTGGCCGCTGAACAGGGTCACTGTAAGGTGGTCTCCTTGTTGTTGGCAGCCAGGCGCGGACAAACATGACGTTGATGGTTAATCATTGTTCAGGTATTTAGTGGAGATATTGGATATAATCTGGGTAAATTATAACGACCTCACTACGACCGAAACCTGGAAATCATGTTTAGATTGCGGGAAATCATCCCCAAATGGCCGCAAGATTCAGGTTAGTGAAATATTATAATTTACCCAGATATAATGGTTTATAGATGTTTAATTCGTTCTATTTAATGATGATTGGATGGTTGTTAATGGATTTAATGGCTGTTCATGAAATTTCACCAGCAATAATTGGGATTTTGCCACTGGAAGTTGGAATTTACCAACCCTCCAACTAACGTAGACCCTGAGAATAGCCAATTTTTAAAGGAAAGTAGTCCAACCCCCAACATCCCCCAACTCATTTTTTTCTTTGGTCATGTTCGTGGGTAAACAATAGGGTTTTTTTTGGGGGGGGAGAAGTTAGAGAAGTTAACCAACAAAGACAGGGAATTAACACATGGATGAAGCGACAACAATGGAGATTTAGTCAGCAATTTGTGCGGAAAGAGATTGCGGCTATCTCTCTCTCTCTCTCTGTGATTTCTTGTTCAAAAAGGACAGGTTCACTTGTCCAATGTTTTCCATATGGTCATGGATGCCACTCAGTTATTTGAGGCCCCAATTTGGGGCAGGATTTTAGCACCGAGAAGGGAGCGAAGGAGATATATTTGTTAAAATCCCTGATGAAAGCCGGGTAGTCATGGAGAGTTTTCAGTCTTTTTGGGGATGGGTAAAGACATGTAAACATCATTGATCTCACTGAAAATAAGACTTTGAGAAGGGGATCTAGAAACCACAACGTTTACGGGTGAGAGTCCTCGGCTCCATGGCTACCCAGGGCCAGGTGTTTTTTGGATCCTGCCGGGGTTTTTGGAACCCAGGCATCGAATTTTAAGAAGATATCAACTATAGATAAACACACAAAGTGCAAAAACATGCAAAAACTGATTTGCAGTGATTCTTTCTCCATTGCCATCCCCAGATGTAGAGCAATCTGACTGCAGATTGGTCCCACATCCCAAAAAAAACATGTTCAAAGCCTTGGAGCCCCACCAGCTCGAAGATTGCTGTGATTCCGTATGGAATTTCGAGGCTCAAACATGTTGTACCAGTTGTAGCCCCAAAAGTTTGAATACCCTCTGGTTATGACTAACAGTTTGCCATGGAAGCCATGGCCCTAATCGAAATAGATGGTTTACCTTTTTATAAAATGGTGGATCTTTCCATGGCAAACTGTGAATGTCATAAGCAGATGGTATATCGTATGGTTTACAATCCTAAAAATGAACCACTTCATTTACAATCCTCTGGAGTTCCATTTCTGGACCAGCTTCCCAAAAATTCTGCTCTTGTTTCGCAAGGAAACCCCCCCCTGCAGAGATGCCGAAACGTATTTCCAGGATGGTTGTTCGGTGATATGTACCTATTATTTACCCAATATTTCGAGGCGTTTGCAACTGTTCTATCTATGACTTGGTTGTTCCCACGCCGAAAAAAACTGGTGATTTGGCCGAAAATTTGGGCCATGGGCAGGGCAGATCCACGATTGCATTGGCAAGGCGCCCGGGGACGGATATTGTCCGCTACAAGGATTGCCAGTGCAAGTTTGTTTCTTGTTTATAATCCTTGTAAAATATTAAACACCAATATTATCAAATGCTACATATGGGTATGGGTCAATACCTATAGATACATTTTTAGTGGGATGAACATCCATTTACCAGCTATTTTGGGGTTCACTAGGTACCAGGGTTTTGATCCATCCCCATATATCAAATTATAAAAACACCAATCCCATCCCCCCATTCATATTAAACACCCCCATTGTATAGCATTGTATCGTCCCAAATATATGGAAATTGCCTATTACCATGGTTCCTGTGGTGGAGTTTAGTATTAGGGAGATGGAATTAAATCAAATTCCAATGAACTATTTCCAATGAACTACAATCCAATATGGGTTTGTTTGAAAATGGTGGATACCCAAAATGGCTGTTTTAATGAGGAAAATAATTGTAATCCATTGGAATTGGGAGTAAATATAGATTTAAAAAACAATAAACTAGAGAATTATCGGAAAACAGCAATTCTTGCAAATAAAATTTTCCGAAAAATATGGGACAAAAACTCAATCTGATATTGTCATGTTCCATATTTGGAATGTTTAATGATTGGACAGATTGATATTCTCCAGTTATCTTCCGCAAATCTAAATGATTCTTACATAAATAAAATTGGCTGAAGCTGCTTTGTTCCCCTTGGTAAATCCACTATTGGTTGGGAATCTACAAGAACTATATTTTTTTGGGGGGCCGTCTCCAGCAAATGCCTGGAAAAAAATAAGGGTCGGTGATGATTTGAGGGTGGTCTGTCTAGAAGGATACGAAGATATCTGGTTGGTGGTTTCAAACATGGCTGGATGATTTTCCATAACTGGTTGGTGGTTTGGAACATGGCTGGATTATTTTCCCTAATATATGGGATAATCCTTCCCACTGACTAATATTTTTCAAGATGGTTAAAACCACCAACCAGATAATATATGGGAAATTCATCATCCCAACTGACTTTCACTCCATCATTTTTCAGAGGGGTAGGTATACCACCAACCAGATATGCTCTTACATATGTGTTTTTCAATTGTTTGCATCTTCAGAAGACATGTTTAATAATGTTTCAGGATAATTAAATGCTAGTAGCCGAAACTATCCATGTATGGCAAAACTCCTTCCCGGTAGATGTTTTAAACCCCCCCAAGATTAGATACCTCCATGCGGGCTCCAAAATTAGGGGATCCTGGCCCCAATTTTTACTAGTGGATTCGAGAAGTTTGGTAGCATTTTCCACAAATTCCCACCATCAGTACAGGATGGGGCCCAGTTATAAGTTGGTTTATAAGCCCCATGAATACTATAGATATCTAGTTCGGTTTATATCTACCATAAACCGAGTAGTTGAGCCTGTAAGGCAACTGAACGCTATCTTGGGGGCCCCATCCTGTGAAATAGTACAATTTCCCTCAATTTCCCAGGAATTCCTGAGATCTCTGGCGGCTTCCCTCGCCGAGGTAAGGAGATCTTCATGGAACTTCAGCGTCCACATCTCACTGCCTCGTGGGGCTTCATCTGGGACCAACGTTTTGACGTGGGGAAGCCCAGCGTAGGAAGGGTCCCCTTTTTGGGTCATTTTTTTCTGGGAAAATCGTGGGAAAATCAGGGAAAAGTATCAACAAATTGGTGACTTGAGGATTACTCGAGGCGCACACATCTGAAACGAATTGGATGTTGATGGATTTGAACAATACGTCACGTCACGTGAATTTGCAAATCAAACAGAATTGCGAATCAAAGTTTCCGGTTTGACCCGTACCCCCCTGATAATTGAACACTATTTAACATAGCTATGGAAAGTCGCCATCGTTCAAAGGTAAATCATCGGACTAATAAAATCGTTCATGTTATGTCATTGTTGGCGGCTATTTAACAAATCACCAGCGGGTATACCATAAAGTGGATTCTAATCCGGATTAAATCCCATGAAATCCCATGAAAATTCCATTAAGATCTCATTAAAATCCCAACAAGATAGCATTAAATTGCCATGAAGATCTCATTTAAATCCTATTTAAATCCCATGAAATCATGCTAGGATTGTCGTCTTGTGCTGGACCTCAGGGTGACTTTCGACGCGTGCTCACTGCGATGTGCGAGAACAGCCCAGCAGCGGACTGGCCACTTGGTGGTGATGGGTCAAAGGCCTGTAGCTTTGGTGAACATCAAATAGGTGGTTTATATAGATGTAAATTCCCCAAAAATATATGGGATTTGAATGGTGTTGACACATATTCGTAGTATGCAGCATAATATTATGCTAATGTTAGAAAAAACCAGAGAAAACACCAATTTGACCATGTTCATGGGTGATATAAACCGTCACGATATGAGTGGTTTATAAAAATCGTTACATATATCCTGGATAATTAATGTGACAAACCCCAAACCCATAAACCATCCAAAAAAAATCACCATGTTTATGGGTGGTCACTAACATCTCCAGTCAGGGTTTACCACATTGCATCCCACTGGATGAACGTGAATAAGCCATAAGGGCGGATGTCCTGTCAGTGGGTCAAAAACCATGGTTATAAACCACCTGTTGCTGGTATGCACCCACAACTACACCCCAAATGATTAGATACTGAGGAAAATTATGTTTTTTAGGCACTGGCTGAAACATTTGGTACCTACTTTGGGACAAAACCATGTGATAACTGAAGAGCATCCAACGAAGCCGAAGCTGAAGCAATTCTTGGGTGGTCAAATGTCTAAAGATGGTGATATCAGAAGAAAAAAAGACATCGCCAGCAAAATAGGGATCTAAGCAACAAAAAATGAGCTGTGGTAAAATGTTAGAATATTCCTAAAGTGAAACAATAAAAAGGTGGAAATCCGAGAAACTGCATCTTTTTGCCTTTAGCTAATCGAGAGTGCTGAATACCACCAACATTGATGAGAACCGAACCAATCAGCTGCAAAATCACATGGTTGGTGTGCACAAAGAGGACATGTGTTTTCATTCCACCTGAAAAAACATGAAAAAACATGGTGTTCACATCCCTCATGAACAGACATGCAGTAGATGGACTAGCGCAGGATTCAATACGACAATACGAGCAAAAAGCAGGAAGAAGCAGTGGGAAGTTTGCCACCAAAAACTTGGACTAAAGGTTTTGGCCTACTTTAGTTGGTGGCTCCTTGTCTCCTTGTCATCTTTTTGGGCGCCACTTAGCGGGCGCTATGAAGTTGGCTCCAACTTTACCACCGATTTTGGGAATCGGATGTCTTTGAAATGTGGCCGCTACCAGCTACCCCCAATTTATGGCATTTTTACAGGCAAATTGATCATTAAATTACTGGGTGGAATGAAGTACCTTGCCTTTAAGACAAACTGCTTTTCTGGCTAAGTGAGTACGATTTATGGTGGATATGATCAGATGGGCTTATAAACAAATAAACAAACTTTTAACTGGGGGGGTCCTTCCTGTAGAGACAGTCGATGGTTTTTGGAGACGTGAGGGATTGAATGGGATTGATATATTGCGTCTTGCAAATGAAACTCAAATGCGTTGTTACCCTCTGGTAACTAACATAGCTATGGAAAATCACAATTTTTACTGGGAAAATCCACTATAAATGACCATTTTCAATAGCCATGTTAAATTACCAGAGGGTAATTCCCGACTTGCACGCAGTTTTTGTGCTGCCTTTAAAGTAGTTTGGAGCATTGACAACTGAAGGTGGATCAATCGAAAGACAACTGGAGGTTCCATGCCTCGTATGTGGATTATCTCTGGATGATGTTCAGTGCCGAATCATACCATGTTCAGGAACATAATATAAATACAATGTATTTATATATGTATATATACATGCATATTATATTGCGTATATTGTATAGATGTGTATACTGTAATATTATATATATATATTATACATACATAGTTATGCACATTGTGTGAATATGCTTGAAACACTAAATCAACCGCAGGGTCCGCAGATTTTCTCACCGAGGAATCAGGACATGCTGGACATGGGTCAAGACCCTTGGAGCCGTTTTCAAAGACACAAAACTGGGGGTGAAATGGGTGTGTAAATTAATTTTGATTGTGATGTTAATGTGATTGTAATGGGATTTTAATGTGATTGTAATGGTATGTTAATGGGATTTATGTAATGGGGTTTAATGGGATTGTAATCTACATAATGAGATATACTCTCCAGTAAATTGACATAGTTATGGAGAATCAGCAGTTTGAATAAGTACATCAACTATAAATTACCCATTTTCCAGAGCTATGTTAGTTTACCAGAGGGTATACCCCGGATACTGATGATTAAATGGAATGGGGTACCCAAGTTTGAAACAAGTCCAAATGGGCGTATCTGAAAACAAAAATTATGGGATATGAATCAGTGAATGGGATATTTGATGGGGATGTAATGGGATATAAAACCATAATGTGATATTTGGGGCAGTCCATGATGTTTTTAAACAGTGGATGGAATCGGGCACCCTATTTCAGACAAAACCCAAATTTTCTATACCCATGACCCGACTCACTTCAGGGTGAGGTCAATCAAGTTCTATCATGATGTAGCCTTTTGTTATCGAACATAGCTCTGAACAATCGCCCTTTTGTAGATGGTTTACCATGATTTACCTAGATTTACCTCTTGGCAATGGCGGTTTTCCATAGCTATTTAAATAACCAGAGGGGATCATCCCCTACCAAATGCTGCGGGTTTCCAATTTAGGAATTGCCGCAGTTGGAATCATACCCCTGAATTACGGTCAAAGATAACGCTGAGAATTCTTTCACCAATTTTTGGGAGCGAGGTAATCTTCCAATCCCCTATTTAGGGCCGATGTTAGTTGATGGGGTTGCGACTTTGCGGCATATTTGGGGAACCATCAAGGGTGGCGCCCAATCGGATTCGGGCTTAATTTTAGATTGTCTAAGGTGTGGCCTGTGAAACATGGAACACATGGAACTCAACAGATCATACTTTGGAATGGTTTTTTATCATCTACAGTCAATGGGAGATCTTCAGGATCCAATTGATGGAGGTACGTTAGTACCATATTCCAGGCCATATTTTATGGGGATACCCTCTGGTAAACTAACATAGCTATGGAAAATCACAATTTTTAATAGGTAAACCATCTATAAATGGGCCATTTTCCATGGCTATTTTGACATAACCAGAGGGTATTCCCTTACATCTTCAGGTGACGAGTTCCATGGCAAAGTATGTGCCGAACCGGCTGTGACGAACCGGATGAGTTCAGCCTGGAAAATTCCAAGCCCTGATTGGTGAATAAGAGTTTCTCGCGAACCATGGTCCATGGCCCAAATGCATCCAAATTCATTTTCTATATATATATATATATATTATATATATACATATTATATATATAGAGTATATATATAGTATATATATATTGTGTATATATACTATATATTATATTGTTATAATTTATAGTATATTCTACAATATATAGTACAATATACACATATATGTTCATCCCTGGCCCTAATATATACCAACATTTTTTTTCGGCTCTGAGCCAGTTTTGTGTCTCAGGATGTCTTGCATTCTGGGGATGAGTTGATTATGATCAACGAGCGAGATGCCAGGCGGGACGAACGGTGTCCCAATCCTATGGAACCCATCACAATCCCCAGTAAACCAGGTAGTACAATGTGGGGCCCCCAAACGTTATGTTTGTTGATTTATAACCCCATGTAACTAGTTCGTCATAAGTACCATAAACCCTAGTTATTGTAGTTATAAACCAACTTAGCTATCTTGGGGGCCCCACATTGTATAATCCCCTATGGCCATCAATTACCCTCTGGTAAACAGCCACATAACTATGGAAAGATCCACCATTTTTTATGGGCAAATCAACTGTTTCTATGGCCATGTTCAGTAGCTATGTTAAATTACCGGAGGGTAATGGCGACTTGGGACTTTTTGCCAATTAGGACTTAGGATTTTATTCAGGATTTATGCAGATTATATAGATTTGGATGAAATTGATGCTGAAAAAAATTGTGCATGAATCCTTGGAATGATGGGAATTGGAGAGGATTCATCCCTGGCCGCAAGGTTCAGTTTTTTCTGGTTCGTAAATGATCTGATGTTAGCCAGATGAGTGGTTAATAACTCCTTAAAAATGTGCAGAAGGGATTGATCAAGCAGTTGGTCAACTGGATTATCAATCTCTTAATCATAGATATCCTTTTCCCACTGGCTGTTTGATGTTTTCTCAAAGGATAACATCGGGAGGGGCTTGGCGAAAAAGATAATACAATATAATACATAAGATCTAGGTTAAATGATGATGAAGGAGTATGAGTGTTTTTGTGGGGAAAAAAGAGGAGTTATATGAGGAGTTATATATCCTCAAAGTTGAAAAGACAATTGGTAAATGGAAGTAAAGAGAATTGCAGTGGCCAACGATTTTCCTCTGGGTGGTGGTTTGGAACATGTTTTATTTTCCATAATATATGGGATGTCATCATTCCCATTGACGAACTCATATTTTTCAAGATGGTTATTGCACCACCAACCAGTTGTTGATAGTATGAATTTACACAATTAGACCATGGTCCACAGAAATCTACGTCCAAGCCATACCGGCATCGGCATGGCATCAGCAACTGGGTGAAGTCGTTGTACTAAGATTCGCAGGCTTAATATGGCTAAACCATCCACTCATGCCTGAGTTTTGACTTGAATTGATTTCTAATATTTTGTGTGTGGCCACAGCCCCAGGCTTAACCAGCCACCAGTCTCCAAGGGTTAGGTGTCCTCTTTTCCCTCTGCCATAACCCATCATCGTTCTTTCAAATAGTTTTACACGTGTTTAAATCAACTATTTGTGTTTGTCAAAGTCTGCTTGTGAACCTTTATATACACCGCTATAGTTGGTTACAATAGTTGTTTCACAAGTTTTCTCACAGTTTTGCAAATAAATAACACCGATTACAGCAAACTGATTGTGAAATCGTTCGCCAAGTTACAAGCCATTTACAAACCAACGGAAACCTCTCATAGATCAACTATCAAGCCCTATATTTCAGGGTGGTTTAGTCCAGATTTTGTGTGAAATCCCAAAAAAGTCGGTGGGATTTCACCGGAGTTTCCCTCATGGTGAAATCATCTTAAATCTCCATCTGTCCTATCCACTTTTTTTTTGTGCTTGGTTTATAAACTGAGTTGGCTAGTTTGATATGTGATATATATATATATGATATATCCAGCTTTTCAACCCTAGTTGTCGCTTACAAACCTACATACACCTCTCACAAATCAACTCCATTCAACCATCAATCCCCTTTGGGGTGGTTTAATCCCATGAAATCACCATTCAATCGTCAAATTCCAATATGTTTGCGGGTAAATCATTGTAAATCAGCGATCTTTGCATTAAGTTAATCCCATGGAAATCCTGTTCTCCTTCGTGAAATCCGCCTTTTTCCTATGGCCTTTTCGGCTTTTCCCTAGTCCTCCAAGCATGTTCCAAGCTGTCCCAGTGACCGGCTCGGCCAGGACGTCGTTCTTCGCGCTGCGGGAACTGCTGGAGATCCGGCTCTGCTTCCAACGCGTGCGCTGCTCTGTGCTGACGCCACTGGAACGGGCTGCGGTGGGGGGAGCCCAGGGGCAGCTTCGGAAAAGGCTGGGAAAAACCATGGCAGATGCGAAGATTAGATGTGAATCTGTCAGAATGCTGTGAAAAATGAGGCAAACATGGAGATTGAAGATGATTTAAGCCACTGGGCATGAGATTTCCAAACAGAAAATGGTAATTTTTCAAAGCAGACATTACGATTTCAGATGAAGTAAGCCACTCATGAGATTTACTGGTTGGTGGTTTGGAACATTTTTTATTTTCCATAATATATGGGAATAAACATCCCAACTGACGAACTCATATTTTTCAGAGGGGTAGGTCAACCACCAACCAGTTTACCAATCGAAAATGGCTATGCGTTCGAAACCATGGGGACGACGATGCCCCAATCATTGGAAGCCGATGCCTGGATGCGGATTCGGGAGCTCGACCCAAAACTGGGAAACTGGGACCTTGAGAAATGGTTGGTTGATATACCCTTTGGTAAACGTTTACATAAATATGGAAAGATCCACCATTTTGAATGAGAAAATCAACTATTTCTATGGCCATGGCTTCAATAGCTATGTAAACGTTTACCAGAGGGTAATTGAAAAACCATGTCTACCACATTCCAGTAATTTTCGGAGGCTTAAGTGAATGAAAACCTTCAAAAAACGCCTAGTAGAAACATTCAACATCGCATTATCCCATATGATAACCCATTATAAATCACTATTACTGTATATCCCCATTAGGGTTGGTGAAAAATCACCACAACATCCACCAGAATCAGTCCGAAGTCTCCAGGATCAGGGGCATCACGAAGTGTGCAATGCCTTGCTGACGGCAGGGGTGGATGCCAAAGTCAGGCACCATGGAAAACTGGATGTGGCGGGATTTTCTTACTGGTGCTTAGCAGGGAATTTTCGGGAATGATCCCAGTCATCACTAGTAATAATCATCCCAGCAACCCCCAGCAACCCATCCATTCCCTACTAAGCACCAGTAAGTTTTTAGGGGGGAATAATAACTCACTCACAATATATGACAATGCGAAAAATTGGCTTATTGCCGGGTTCAGCCAAGACAAATGGGGGTTAAAATGATTAAACCAACCATGATGAATGTATAGTCTCGTGGGATCTAATGCGACATTACATATATATATAATTATATATATATAATTATATATATATACACATGTAAGTTGTGATGATATGGCCAACACATAATTCACATGACATGTTCGTCCAAAATCGTAGCTGAACAAGCCATAAGGATCTAGCATAATCAGCGGTTTGGATTTTGCAGAAAATTGCGGAAAATGGGGTTGTCCAAAAATGGTGTACCAGTATTTACACCAATATGTGGCCATTTGTTGATGGGCAAAATGATGTTCTACACCATGCCATGGAACAGGATGGAACTGTGAACACAGACAAACCCATGTGGACAGTAATGACAACACATGAAGGTGTGGTGATCACCTGTTTTTTTTTTAACCCCTTGGCAGGTTTAAATCCAACCATGTATGGGGAGAGAATCAGCGTATGAACCTGGATTGGTTGTGATGATAATCCCCGATTGACCTCGGAATGGGTTTTTGAAGGTATTTCATTAATCTGGTTGGTGGTTTGGAACATGAATTTGTTTTTCCATTCAGTTGGGAATTTCATCATCCCAACTGACGAAGTCCATCATTTTTCAGAAGGGGTAGGTCAACTACCAAGCAGTATGTTTAACCCATAACAAATCCCATGAAACCCCATTATAATCCCATTAATTGTCATTAAATCCCATAACAAATCCCAGGTTTCCCCTCATTAATGAGATGACTGAGACTTTGGCCGGCTGTTGAAGAAACCAAAAAAGGCCGGGCGACCAAATCAAAGGGCAACAGAGCTGATTTTTGGTATTCTGAGATGTGATTTGAATCGATGACGAGATGATATATGATGATATTTAAATCAATTTATAATGGGTTTTAAATGGTTTTAATGTTGTATAATGATATGATGATCAACAATAATGTATAATGATATAATGCAATAATGATATAAATTACTATAGATTAAGATATTGGATTTTGTTTTCCATTTTGGTATGATCAATGGACACGACAGTGATGGGAGACAAGCTGTGTGCTGCAACGGGGCGGAGCACATCGCTGGGATGATCCTCCATACATTTTGGACGAGTGGCTTCGTCATCTCCGGTTGGACCGCGATTGCCCTCTGGTAAACTAACATAGCTATGGAAAATCACTATTTCTATGGGCCATTTTCCATAGTTATGTTAGTTTACCGGAGGGTAGAGATCTTTTAACGTTGCATCTTCACCGGGAGTTCGGCTGGTTTTTGTATCGTCTCAAGGGGCGGCATTCAAGAAGGAGAAGCTGAGCCAAGTTGCGTTGAAAGTCAAGCATCGCAGAGATTTTACTGGTTGATTGGCATCAAGTCTTCAATCGAAGAAGGCTTTGCAACATGACTGGTTCCTCAAAAAAAAATGCCTCCTAAAAGTCTTGAATTATGTTATATATCTCCTGGCTGATGATGGTAATAGTAACAGCCCAGAAAAATCCGGTTGATGACGCCAGCGCACAAAAAATCAAATTATATAGATCAGTTTTGAAATCCTAATAACATTAACAGAAGCCATAAACTAGTTGATGATAGCCCCCAATAACAAACACCCACAAAACAACTAAAGACACTTCAACCATTCTTTGGGAGTTTCCAACTCAGCCTTCGGCCTGTCCCTTTCCCAGGGCCAACGCATGGCATCCTACGCCCTTGGAGATCTTCACCGAGACTGCGCAGGCTGTGAGTATTGAGGGCCGGCCCTGACAATCTGCTGAAAGAAAGACATGGGCATTTCGTGAAATGGGGGTACCCCATGGTACCCCTGAATCATTCGTTTTAAAAGTATTTTCCATTATAAAACATCCATTTTGGGGTATCCCCATTTCTGGAAACCCCCACATCTTGAAAAATCGTTGACAAGCTTCTGAGTGGCTTGTTAAACCTTAAAAAATCGTTTGATTTTAGAACTCGACGATTCACTCGTCTGACTATATTTTTTTCAAGAAATCACCCCCAGATGAACGATGAGTTTCACCTTAATGATCTTCCATTTTTCACCGGGATGGCCCAACCGGTCAACACTGCCAACACCGAGGAGTTCATTCATATTCCCCATGTTTCTTGGGTTATATTCTCATCATATCCCCTCCTTGGATGCATATCCCACTCAGTATGTATATATATATATAATTATATAATATGTATTAATGTGTATATATATATATTAATCAATATTACATATACATGATATATATATATATACATATATTTGTTATTAGATGTCTCCCTGTCACAACTGGGTTCCAGGATGGTTTGCGATTCCTGGAATACATCCCCAAGTAGAACATACTGTACCCCATCTAAGAGATGTCAGGTGGTTATTCAGCTGAAAGTGGAGAAAGAGTTGGTGCTTGCCTTTCTGGTGGGTCGCTGGACAGGATTAGGATGGATTAGGCATCGTTTTAAAGCTGGGAACTAGCAAAAACTAAAGATGTCCAAATTGAGGATGTGAACCAACTGCGGGAGGCCTTTCATTGATTTGCCGGAAAAAATGCGGAAAGAAATCGAATTGGAGCACCAAGGACTACGGTTCCTCCTTCAGGTTTGTGACCAAAAAATCAGTCTATTCTAGCAAAATTAGGATTTGCTTGCTAGAATAGTTTGACACCATCCACTCATCATTTTGGATTTGACTTAGACAAAAGTGGCTGATGGTTGCCCAAAACGATGAGTGGATGGCGAAAAGCCCATGGAACGCTTCTATCTCAGAGATTTGGCTGTCGATGCGACAGACGGCATGGGCATCGTAATGTGATTTGAAAAGCGACAACGAAAACATGAAAATGCTGGAAGTTTAAGTCTACCTGGCCTGGTAAACATACAAAAAGCTATTGAAAATGGCCATAGAAATAGTGAGTTTTCCCATTAAACATGGTGATTTTCCATAGTTTTTTGTATGTTTACCAGAGGGTAGCCATCCCGCAATAGAATTCAATAGATGCATTTTTGTCTCACCACCGCCGGCGAGGGCACAGCCAAATGGATGTCAGTAACACTTCCGATGGGTTGATTTGGGTGCATGTCCAGAGATGTCCAGAAAAATGTTCCAGCACTATTGACAAAACCATTCTCCAAATCATGAAATATCATGAAAGATGTCCATTAGATCATTATATATATACACATATATATATATATAATTATACTGTGTATATATATATATATATCATGATCATTATCCATTAAAGATACCATCATGAAATATCATGAAATATGCCCATGGAAAATGCCCATGAATGGTTAAATCACCACGAAATCCATGGGTTTTCCATGGGTTTTCCCAGCCCGAGATGCCCAGGAATCAGCAACTCCTGGGAAAGGCTCCGAGAAGAGGTGCAAAGACGCCTCCAGGTGTCACGCGCAAGCCCGGGGCCCTGGGGCCGTCCACGGATCCTCACTTGGTGGAATCCCAAAGTGTGTGTTTAGTACTGGTGGATATTTATTTATTTATGTATATATATATATATTGTGTATATATATATATATTGTATATATATATATTATATATATACATACTATATATATATTTATATTGTATATATATATTATATATACATACTATATATATATATATTGTGTATATATATATTGTATATATATATTATATATATTGTATATATACATATGTATATATATATATTGTATATATATATATGTATATATATATATATATTGTATATATATATATATTGTATATATATATATATTGTATATATATATATTGTGTATATATATATATTGTATATATATATATATATTGTATATATATATTGTATATATATATATTGTATATGTATATATATTTTTTTGTATATATATAGTATATGTATATATAGTTGTGGGATGATAGATGATGATAGGGTAAACGATGGGAACATGAAACTTCGCATAAATTTATCCCCAAGTTGTGGCAGTCGTGGTTGATGAAATGGTGTATACCCTGCTTCGCTATGGGGATGGTGACAAAAATATAGTCATGTTTTTGTTGGAATAGCGGAGGAGGGCATGGATACACATTTGGTGGTTTCCATAAATGGGTACCCCAAAATGGATGGTTTATAATGGAAAATTCCAGTAAACTTGATAATTTGAGGGTACCCACATCTTAGCAAACCCCCATTCATCAACATCACAGTTGATTTTCGGATTGTGATGTACAATATCAACCCTCTACACATCCTGTAGCATCATCATCCACCAGTATGTGTTGCGTCACGTGCACCAATGATGATCCTCGAGACAAGCGGTTCCATTGATGGGCTATCTGGAAATCTGGAAATCGGTTTCACCGCAATCCACTCAGCAGGAGTTTACGATGGAGTTTGCATCAGTTTCCCCCGAAAAACTCGAGCAGGTTTGGAGTACCCAGGGCACCGATTCGCAGTGGCACCAAGGTTTCTTCTCGCAAGGTCGAGAGCTTGCTGATTCAAAAGTTCAGGCGAAGCTATGGGAAGAATCTCCAACTAGAGGCAATAGGTGTCAATAAAGCTACCCACTACCACAAACCTCATGACAAACCTAGGAATTGCCAATTTCTGATGGGTCAACATGATTAAACCCTAATTTGTGATGGTGAAGATAGCCATTTTCAATGGTGAGATGGCTGGTAAACCATCGAAAAAAAAAAATAACATCTAATCCAGACTCAGCGGCCAAGCGGCAGGGGTTGGTGGTGGAAGATCACATCCTCACCTTCAACCTGGTCTTTCGCGCCCTGGTAGCGACATTTTGTTCCCACCATCTTGTGTGCCAAGGTTGAGAGAAGCCGGCAGTATGAGTTTATCATGTGGTATGTGGGGATAAATGTTGGGAATAGCCAATGTAGAGGTATATTTACAAGTATATAGTGGTTGGTGGTTTCAAACATGTTTTGTTTTCCCCATTAGTTGGGATGATGATCCAATCTTACTTTCATATTTTTCAATATGGTTATTGCACCACCAACCAGAGTAGTTCCCCAGGTCGGAATCGTTAGGTTGGTTTAGTTGTGTAACGATGGGAATTCTGGAAGTTTTGTCCAACAGTAACTACCGTGTAACAGTCGGGGCATGCTCTTGTAGGTGGTGATTTAGGTGGTGAGTTTGTCCACCAGAAGAATCAAGATGTTTGTGATGGCCTTGTCGGTTGGGAATTCCTGATGTGATGGCAGTACTGATTTGTTCTTGGCCTTGTCGGTTGGTGCATGTGATGGGAAAGAGTGGAGAATGGAAGAGATCAAAAAACATCAGGGAAGCTGGTTCAAGCACAAAGCACGCTCTCATTAAACCAGGTATACATTCAAAAAGAGGAGTATCATGGGGATTCGGCTGTTGGTGTTTCAGATTCGTGATGATCTCACCAATTTTGGTGGAGCCAGTTCCCATGACCTTTATAGCTACTTGGTGACCTATTTCATCACCCCGTTTCCATGATAGAAATCATCTTATATCATGTTTTTTTCAGGCAGTTCCCAGTGATGTACCCATGTTCCACGACCTAATTATGGGGATGTCCATTCGCCGCTGGACAGCGGAGATCGCAGTTCCCAGTGATGTCCCCATGTTCCATGACCTAATTATGGGGATGTCCATTCGCCGCTGGACAGCGAAGATCCTGTGGCCCTGTGACCTGAAGCACTCAGGCGATCGACTGCTGACGTCCCTGAAATCTGGGGATCTGGAGGCTGTCGAGCTGTCAGAGGCCAACTCGTGCATCGTCAGCGGCGATGCGCGCGGCACCGTTTTCAAAAAGGGGCCGCGTGTGTCACACGTTTTGGATGGCTACCTCACTAGGGAGGGAACAAAAGGTTGGGGGGCCTTTCTGTTCACCAAAACGTGGCAGTTATGGATGTTCAATATTATTATATTATATTATATATTATTATCATATATATATATTCACAACTGATTATTATATTATAATAGCACTTTCTGTTCACCAAATTTATGAGATAAATTGATAGGTTTTATTCATGCTCTCCAGTAGGTGCTGGCCCTGCAGGAGGCCTGAATTGGATATTTCAGCCATAAGCGGATCGGATCACGGTGGATCACGGACCCTGGGATGCACCCCCATGGCTGGAAAGACCCCAACTGATGTGAAAATATAATGGAGAATCATGGATTGTAATCTATCAACGCGTGTTCCTGATGGACACCCTCTGGTAATTTTTTTAGCGGATGCAACAGCTACAAATTGGACATTAATGTAGTCGGGCATAGTTTACGATACACAGTTGTTGCATGTTGTTTGAGAAACATTCTATCTGGAGGTGATGCGTAATACGAATTTCACATTGCATATGGAAAACCTCAACTTTTAACAGACTCAATGTGAAAAATGTATAAAATATAGGATAATCTGCTGATAGTCTGTGAATGGCAAGTGGAGGAAGAGTTGATGATCAAGTTCCTAATAAACTTGATTCACATTGATGTTGACATGATGATTGTTTACATGTTATATGATCCAATCATATCTACACATTACATATTACATACTGTATATTCTATGTATACGCATTGTAGTCATTTAAGTGTATGACTTAAGATCTACCTTGGTACCCCCAACTTTACTGATACTTGGGTCTGTCTGGAAATGGGTTTTAATCAATGGGAATTTCAGGCTAAAATACATGGAGGTACGTTAGTACCATATTGTTGGCCATCTTTTGTGGGGATCTTCCCTGAAATTTAGGCCTAAAAAATAGGCCAAACATATATGCTAGGTACCTCCAATCAGTTCCTGAGATGGCCATTGATTTAAAAACAATAAGGCTCAGAATACCCTCTGGTACACTAACATAGCTATTGAAAATGGCCATTTATAGTGAGTTGTCCCATTAAAAATGGTGATTTTCCATAGTTATGTTACTTTACCAGAGGGTAGTTCACATTGATTCAGTGGATTTACCTCGCCTGAGGCGTTTCCTGGGCAGATGCTTCCCCCCATGATGCGCCGTTCTCAGGTGGTAAGTTCAGGTGGGGATGTGGATACGCCGATTGAAAAGTTGTTAAGAACCTGTGTAAATATATATATATACATATACATATATATATATACATATATATATATGTGCGTGTGTGTGTGTGTGTGTCAGGTATATCACAGTGATGAGTGGGTTATAACTGGTTTCTAACTGCTCTAGTTCCTACAGCATAGATTTTGGTGTCCAATAGGATTGACCCGTACCCAAGTCACATTGATGGTTTTGCATCCCACTACGTATATCAGCTATATCTCTGTAAAATGGATTAGAAATGCTTGGTTATACATATATATATATATGTATGTATTATGGAGGTTTCCTAAAATAGAGGTACCCCCAGTCATGATCCAGCTATTAGATTGGGATTTTCCAGTATAAACCAGCTATTGGGGTACCCCATTGTAGCTATGGAAACCTCCATAGAGACCTCGTTGGTTCAATCCCGCATGCCAAAAGTTCGTTTCGACAAACAGCACGCCAAGGCATCAGATGCCGATGATGATGCCACATGCTTTCCCAGGTGCGGGATGTATTTATAGTGGCTGGATTCATCAACCCCCAGTTTATAAACCCTGAGCTTCAATAACAAAGGTACCACTTTCAGTGGAGGACCCCCTGGCTAAAAGATCAACCACGCCCTATGACATTTACAATATTTTGCAACAGTACCCGAAAATGCCGATTTTGAAGAGGACAACTATACACAACCATTAAATTTGGTGGTATGTGATTTCAATCGAAGCCACCTTCAAATTCCTGATTTGATTTACACAAATTTGACGAATATGGTGTCCGCAAAGTATATCCAAAAGTGTGGTTTAGTATTCCCGCTGGTTATTTAACATAGCCATGGCCAATGGCCACATTTATCATGTAAATCATTGACAAATGTTGTTTTTCTTGGCTATCTTCATTTACCAGAGGGTAATTCAATGCTTATGGATTTTATCCGAATGATTGGGCAGTTATTCCCCAAGAAATCCCTGCATGTTACTTTCCCAAGGCACTTTTATCGGTTTTGGAACGAACATACCATGTTTGGCAGCTATGACAGGCAGTACAGTGCCTGTTGTATCACAATATACCTAACTTACCTGGACAATTTTGAACGGTGGGTTGACAGTTTTGTGCTTTTTCTTAGCGACAAATGAAGTATCTTCTCAATATGATGTATGTAATATATGTATTTAAATGGATGAGTCCTATATATTGTGCTGAACATCAACATGCTTTTTCAGGATCTTGAAGGGGTATCTGAGTTCGATCAGCGCAGCAGCAGTGCTTTCTCTTCGTTGCTTCAATCTCCCAAAACTGTCATTTTGGTGTTCAGAATGCTCGTTTCTTCTCCATCCTCCTGCATTTGCTTCTTATGTTTGACAAATTTGGCGCAAGAACATGATTTTGTTGGTTATACAAATCATTAAACCCATATAGATACATACAGATCCTGATGTTGTGTTGTTCAAAGCCAACCTTCAGATCGGTCAAATCCTTCAGTTTGGCTGCTCAAACTCATCACATCTCAAAACTTTCAGGGGTTCAAACTGGTTCCAGCCAAATACGTACTCCAACTGTCACATGTTGTTTTCCTGATTTGTGGCTTTGTCTCAAAACAGGCTACCCCATTCCAGTGGCTTATCATGGTTTATCATAATTTTCCCATAATATCATAATATTCCCTAATTATTCCCTCTTAAGATTCTTAAAATGGCCATAAATGATGGGCATTTGTGCCCAACCCCCGGAGATTATTTCCACCGCCATGGTATAGTCCCTTAAATATGTGTCAATCCCTTATTTATACCATACTGGTTGGTGGTTTGGAACATGTTTTATTTTCCATAATATATGGGATAGTCCTTCCCATTGACTAATATTTTTCAGAGGGGTTGAAACCACCAACCAGCATAGTTTATGGGGGCTGTTGAAGATTAGGGACCTATGGTTCTGCCAGGTCAGCCGTGGGGCATTCCGCATGCCGTGCCGATGGGGCCCATGGGGCCAATGGGGCCGATGCAACATCCCATGGCGCATGCGATGCCAGGAGGGGAGCGGCCAGCAATGGCCCCCCGTCGAATCCCTGTTGGTTAATATGTAGATTAATAGATAGATAGATAGATAGATAGATAGATAGATAGATTAATAGATAGATGGATGGATGGATAGATGGATGGATAGATAGATAGATAGGGATTTATAATGCTCTTTACTATTTGTACTACCCAATATATTGGGATTATCACAATAGTCATAAAGTCATAATCCAAGAAGTGGGAAATCCAGAAATTCCGTTTCACCATTGCAGCATCAGTGGTGGATCTTCTGGGCCTAGTGGGTCACCGAAGAGATCAATCTAAGTGGCGGAATCAAAATACTACAAGTGGCATGCTAATAGCTAAAATAGACATAAATCTTTACAATCAATGGATAAGTAACCAAGGCAAGCAAGAAGAAGGAAGAGGAGATGACTGAAGACTGAGACACTGAAAGGAATGTCATAGTCTTTGGGCAGGAAGTACTCTTCATAGTCATAGACGACCATTTCAGAGGGAGCGATGACTCAGCGAAATGATGGAGAGCTGTGTGACCAGCGTGCGCACAGTCAGATCAATGGAATCGTTTGAAAAAATGGCCACTGGTTTACCAGTCGGGATGCACATCCAAGTGGCTAAGCATTGAGAAGTTGATGATTAAAAAATGACAACTATCCCAACTGGTAATTAGTCTACTAATATAGATTTCAGCATCACTTCAACATCTGGCCCCGGTTGAGATTACTGTATCTACAGGTACTCGTACGCAAGCATGACACGCTTACAACATTAAGTCTGGAGATTTCAAGTGGCAAGCTAGCAACTGAATGGAATGTTCTTCCCATGTAGCACCGTGCACTCAGAATATTTCATGCTCACCCCGACACCACTTGCACACATAACCTCAGAGAATTGTGACTAAAACATGCAATAAGTCCGAGTCAAAAAAAAATGGTCCTCCTGACCAAGTAAAATGTTGTCCAATTGGCCTTGCCCAAAGCATACATGACATCTATGCTGTGTTTTAGATTACTGTCTCAGCACTGCGCATGAAACCAGGAATAATCCTTGGCTCAACGGACTGTTGAGCCAGGAAAAAATCCGTTTGCAAAACTGTGAAGTCATACGAAGTTGGATTCAACCAATGAATATTGGAAATTGATTTGCATGAAATTGGGGGTGCGAGACCTAATTAATCATATTAGTCGGGGTGCTTGGGTTCTTTCGCTACAGTAACTAGACTGGATTTACCCTCTGGTTATTTAACATAGCCATGGAAAATCCCCATTTTTAATAGGTAAACCATCTATAAATGGGCCATTTTCCATGGCTATGTTAAATAACCAGAGGGTATGGAGACTAATCTAATTACAGGTGACTGGGCGAACAGAATCCAAATTCAGTGGATGATCTTCGTAATCAGTAAGCGGCAAGCGGTCAAAAATGTTAAAAGCCCATATGGAAGTGGATAATATCATATATCCAGAATTATCCAGATTATATAGTTTATATATCCTACTATCCGTATATATATATATCATATATATATATCATATATGTATATCATATATGTATATCATATATGTATATCGTATATATATATATATATCATACATGTATATCATATATGTATATCATATATGTATATCATATATGTATATCATATATATATATCTCATATATGTATATCATATATGTATATCATATATATATATATCATATATATATATCCGTATATTATATATATATAGATATAGATATTGTATGTATAGTGATCATTTCAATATTTACCAGTGTGGCGGAGATTCGAAGGGCACGGCAGCCAGGAGCAGTTCCTTTCCCGGGGCAAAAACTGAGAGGCGGCATTTGGCGAGTTGGACGGTGTGTCGGGGAGGTCATGCAATGGAGCCATGAACAAAATACCCTGGTTACCCGGCCTGGTAAACATACAAAAAGCGAACTGGAAAATGGCCATTGAAATAGTGAGTTTACCCATTAAAAATGGTGATTTTCCATAGTTATGTGGCTGTTTACCAGGTAACTGATTGCTATAGCGGATTATACTACCTGATTTACTGGGGATTATGATGGGATTGATAGGATTGGAAAACCGTTTTAAACCAACTAGTAGAATGAGATGGGATAGGGGCAGTGTTAATGGCTCAATGATTATTATTCATGGTAAATTAACATAGCATTTTCGGGCTTGGAAGATGAGTCAAGCCACTAAACATGGTTTTTCAGGGTCTATGTTTACCCAATGCCATAACCCTTCCGTTTGGAGATGTTCATTTACCACCCATCTATGGCAATTAATTTTAGGGATGGTTTTCAGATGGTTTAGGGTTTACAAATGGGTTTACCACATTAGCTGAGTGAACCACTCTTTTTTGGCGGGAAGAGTCTTCCATTTTGGGGGATGGGATCGCAGGTGAAGGTTGGGAAGCTCGGGCATAAGCCAATGATCAGGTCATCAGAAAACCGAAGGGCCTGATCATTGACTGTCCATGTTGGTTAAATTTGATCCTTGTTGCTCAACCCTGATGTTACTGATGTTTGTTTGTAGAGATTGGCTACCTGGTTGGGTGGATTCCAACACTGTTGATTGTGAACTCTATTTGGGATGGTCCCAAGTTACCAAGACCTTTCGAGGTGAAACCAGCAACCAGTTGCGTCCAATGTTGGCACAGGTGCTGCTGCTGCTGCCTTGGCACAAGCGCAGGAAAGCAGCAGTAGCAGTAGCAGTAACAGCGACAGCAGCAGCGATAGCAGTGATGATGAGGTCGACGTTGGAGTGGGCGCAGCGGTCAGGGGCATGTGACAAAGTCTTTGGTCGACGAAGGTGTTTAGGACCAACAGATGTTGGATTCCAACCAAAATCGCGGGAAGCAGACACCAAATCATCCACAGGATGTATCAATATATATATATAAGTATCACGGTGTCATCATGAAAGATGAGGCTTCAATGTAGCCAAACATTCGAGTGTGTTTGTTGATGCAAATCCTGACTTTGACTGGTCGGTGCTTGCTGGAAATGGGAACGGTTCGATATGAAATCCCTGCGGGATTCTGCTGGACGAAGCTAGTGAATACCGGGAAAAAAGTGAAAAACAAAGGATCAACCATCAAACATGCAAAGTTTCACTGTTCCAATTGTTGATCTCCACATGGTACAACAACATTGTTATTAACAAAACATGGTGAAACGTTGTGATTTCATATCCAAAGTGTAGGCTATTTCATGGTACTTCCGTCTCCATGGGATCCGTTCAAGTGGCCTCCTTTTTGTCAGGCTCCTGCGACGGCGGCTGCGCCGGCGGCCGTGGCCAAGGTGATTTCAGTAGAATAGGGAATGAACATCTGCTCAGTGGTTGAAACATGTTGAAACCATGGTTTCACAATGGTTTCAACCACATATGAAATTCTCGATTTGGGATGATCCTCAAAATGACTTGCAGATATGGTCAGATGGTTTCCCCAGCAACCAGGAATTTCATCAGAAAAAGACATGATCATCCACGGAGAGCCCGACAGGAAAACTGATCATCACAGGGTTGGGCCATAGTAACCTTTACCATCCAGGTATCAGGTGATAAGACATCAATGGGAGATCAATAGGAAATTTTACAGTACTATCCAGGTTATATTTCCAGGATATAGATCAATTAATTTACTATCATGTACTATCCAGGTTTTATGGAAATCAATGGGAAATCAATAGGAAATCAATGGGAAATTGATGGGAAAGAGGATGCAATGGGAGATGGTCAGTAATTCCGGGCTCCATCAATGAATCCGGAGAAACAACGGTCATCTTCAGGCCCAAAAATGGCTTTGCTTATCTGGCGGGAACTACAAGGTGGTGCCCCATAGTTATAAGTTGGTTTATAATCCCCATTAACTATAGATATAACCCCCATAAACCCTAGTTGTTGGACTTATAAACCAACTTAGCTAACTATGGGGCACCACCTTGTATATACAATATATGGGATAGGCCCAAATCAGGTGTCGGAGGCATTTGAGACGATGCGGCTGATGATGGACAGACTGGCTCCGGGTCCTTAAATCTATTTATGTGCAGATGATTTTATAGCAGCTGGAAAAACAATAGAAAAGTAAAGAAAGCACCATGAAAATACTCGAATCATTCTCCTCTGTTTGTTGTGAAACCACCAAAAAGATGCAGAGAAGTTCAATCCCAATAAAATAGGGACAAGGTAGGGACAATGTACTGTTCTATCTTTTTCTGGGTTGCGTTGTGTTTGATGTGACCCCTCAAAATCTACAGAGTCTTCTACCGCGAAGGCACATGGCCCTGGCTTGGCCCCAGCACAGACCAAGGCCGGAGTGCCATCTCAGATTTGCCACTGGGGGGTGGTTGTGGGTCAAAACACCTGGGACCCGGATGGTCTCCTAAAAAATACCTGGTATAATCTGGTATACATATAGCAGGATTGTTCTTCCCCCTTTTATATGGTATAGCTGGTAAATACCTGGTATAGCTGGATGTAGAATCTGGTATACTCTGGATTGCAATTCCCCCTTTGACCCATTCCCATATTTGTAAATAGCTCTGAGAACTTTCTAAGTAGCTCTACAGCCAAAAACAGGCGAAGCCGGACCAGGGGCCAAGGTTTTTTTTCCCCCAAATGGCCATTTCAATGGGGGTATATAATACTAGTAGTATAGAATATGATACCCGGCCTGGTAAACAGCCACATAACTATGGAAAATCACCATGCTATTAATGGGAAAATCAACTATTTCTCTGGCCATGTTCAATAGCTATGTAAACGTTTACCAGAGGGTAAACCATGGAATTTGGGAGTATCACATCCATGTTCAGACAAACCATGATGGTTGGAATTTGGTGAATCACCCTCAAAATGTAGCAAGGGCGCAAGGACTCTGGATGAAAGGCTTCATGGGAACTACCGTGGCACAGCCAACAGATGATAGACCATCCGCCATTTTAAACGAGACATGGGATTGAAACCGTCCGGACTATTCTAGTCAACATTTGATTATATTTGTGTATTGTGTTTGCCACGTTACTTTTTTTAAGTACAGACATGATCTGATCAATCTGACTATTAGTCATTGAAATTAATGATACTAAGTACTAAGATATTTAAATGATTCCAACGGTTACAATATAACTACGAAGTCATCGAATGTAGCTACATGCTGTCAGTTCGTAATATATAACTATTATTCAATTGCCATGATAATATAACTAGTATTAAATTGATATCAGATCCCAATCATGATCTTATTACTAACCAATAGCCAGTTCCTGGTTGTTAATGAGATGCACCATCGTGCCAGAGTTGGAAATATAAATCACATTCATGATGTTTATTATAGTGGTAGTACTATAATAACTATCAATGGCAATCTGTTTTTTTAATATATATATATATAATCACGGTCAAGACCAATAAAACTGTCAAGGTTATACACATCAACATGCGTACTGAAAGGTATTTTCCCCACAATAATATAGTAGTTGACAATGTACTATTAATCACCCGTCATGAATGACAATCAATACTAAAATATATATATATATATGTTGCTATTGTACTACAGGCATCCTGAAGTAGATACAATATGGAATTTAAAAAAAAAAAAAAAACGCTAAAAGAAAGTGATTGACATTTCACATGCAGTATAAATAGTGAAATCCAATGATTTTATAAATATATACATATATATATATATTGTATAATAGATAAATACATGTAGAAAAAAGTGTGAAAAAACTATGTAATTTTCACAAATTGATCCAGACATCTTTAAATCAACTGTCATTCCAGTGGCCGCCAGGCCGCTGCGCCGGCGCCTAAGGCCGCGGCGCCTAAGGCCGCGGCGCCCAAGGCCGCGGCGCCCAAGGTGGCGCCCAAGGCCAAGGTGATGCCGGCGGTGGCGGTGGAGATGGTGGATGTGGAGGACGCAGTTTGCCGTGTCGCGGAGCGATTTTTCACAAGGTGATGCTCCCTTAACCAAGTTGGCTTGTAAATCCTAGAACTTTGGGTTTATGATTTTATGGCAATAGTATAGTTAATGGGTTTGTAAACCAACTTCTAACTTGGGGGGCACCAGCATAGTTTACCCAATTCATGGGATAAACCCACAAATCGGGGACTTACTAACATTTCTAACTTTAGTTAGGGTTATTAACCACTCACGATTCGTGGGAAGATGCTCCAGGTTTACTGGTTGGTTTACTTGGCGAAACCATGTGGTTCTGTTGACCGGGCATGTTCTGGGAGATCTAGATGAGAACTATGTACAGTACCTCAATTTTAGGTACCTGAATGGGCCATTGATTTGGGGAGGCGAGGTGAGGGAAGTGAGGGTTTAATATTGTTTAGTAGGATGGATTGTTATGTATAGGCTGGTTGGTGGTTTGGCCGACACAGCCACGCCTTTGAGATTTTCTGGATTTCTGTTCTTTCATTGTGGCGTGTCGGTGAGGAAGACAGGCCTGGCCCTGGTCTCTTGGCATCGCTAGACTAGGTCAGTACCAAGGCACAGGTGACTGGCCGCTGGTCGCATCCATGGGGTTGTCGCTTGGTTGAGACTACACCAATGAGTTGCTGATGCTTGCGGTGTCGACGGTGCAGTTGAGTGTGCCCAGATTCGTGGGTGACGAGAAAACCAGGATATCGATAAGCTACCAGCCTTGGGTGTCCTTCACAGACTTGGATTTGTTGAGATGCAAGACCTTCAGACACAACCGATAAACCGGACATTGGGTGGCAGATGTGGAAACAATTGCAACAATTTGGGGCTAGCTGGAGCTTTCTTTAGCCAACGATGGTGATTGAACTTCAACCAAAAAGTGGTCCATATGGAAACATCGTTATTGGAGGGTCGTCGCCTTGGATTAGCCAGTGTTTTATCTGGTTGACCTGCTTCTTGAGTAGTGCCGGACCCAGAAACCGTAAGCGGTGACCATACGCCAAACATGACTGGGGGGGGTTAAGCATCCTTTTTGTAAGTGGGAACTGACCGTGGATATTAGCCAAACACCAGCTGGGTTGCATGTCCAAGTAAAGCTAGGTGACTGTCAAGTTTTGGAGGACAGAAAGGTCGAAACCTATGATGTACTGATTGGGGAATGAAATCCATTTACCAGCTATTTGGAGGTTCACCTTTTTGGCCCCTGCAGGGTCAAAAACCCAAAGCGGCATGCCGGGCTCCAGCCATGCTGGTGAAGTCTAGGAATCGGGGGTTTCTGAAGTCACTTTGGGATCCCCTGTCGTCACCATGGGTTAAACCATACATTTCAATGGTCATCCCCATAAAAAATGGTCATCCAAGGCCAAGATATGACCCATATATATTTCAATAATCATACATTTCTAATGACTTGGATGATTTGGAGTACCCCCATGACGTAGGAAACTTCCAAATCTCTGTGAGAGGGACGGATGACGAGGGCTTCAACTACCTGCAGTTGTGAATTGTAATGCGTCGCAAGCTTCCACTCCACTTGATTCAATATGTACGATTTTACCACCATTTCATGTGAGGTTGAAAACTTCGAAATTGGCTAGCACTCCTGTGATCGAACCCCCCCATTCCTGGAGTTCTTCCATTTAATTTAGAACCAAGGAAACTAACCAAGCCTACTTGCCAAGAATGACTTTTGGCAACCGCCTACAACTTGCGGAGTCTTTACCGCGTTCCTCGATCAACATTCGATGAAAAGCAAACCCATTGTTGATCTTTAAGTCGCATGATTTTTCAACCACGATCACCGCTGTTGCTCTTTACATGATCATAAATCACCTAGCCTATCACCATATTGGTTCTTTTAAACAACCTATATCTGGTTGGTGCTTTGGAACATTTGGATTATTTTTCCCATCATATTTTTCAGAGAAAATGCTCAACCACCAACCAGATAACATTCATGGGATGTTTAATATTGATAATATAATAATGGCCACAATATTGATATACTAACATTTCATCCCATTAATGTTATATAACTTGCCATAGGTTTGGCTAAACTAACCGAGATGTGGCTTTCGCCATGGTTTCGGACATGGGAAAATCCCCGTGGAGGACAGCGATAGCGACTCCTCCAGCGACAGCGACTCCTCGGTCGAAGGGTGCGACCTCACTGCGATCCCTCACTGGAATCATGGTTTATTTTAGGGAAATCATCCCCAAATGGCCTGATTTCAGATTAGTGAAATATTATAATTTACTCAGATATATGAATAATATGTATACTGCTGTTATATGACCCATTAATAAAAAAAAACTTTTATGGGTGTGTCTGAAAATGTGGTATACCCCCAAATGTCTTCTCGCTGGGATATCCAAAGCGTGAGTGTGGGTTGGGTGGTGTCCCACTTTGTTGGCTAAGTTGGCTTGTAAGTCCGTTAACTAGGATTCATGGTAGATATATCTAACTGCTTATAAACCGACTTACAACTGGGGGGCACCACCCTGTGTGGTTATTAGTTATAAGTTACAAGCCATAGACATAACTCACCCGAGGAATCGTTTTTTTGTGATTTATAACCCTTGGAAATAACCCATTTTATATTTGACTTGGGATATTCCATTGGCTGGGGATAACTGGGTTAGAGGATAACTGGGCCACAAATAGGGAAAAGATGGGAAAAGCTGGGGCGAAACGATCCAAAATATTCAAAACATGAGACAAAGATATGGTGAATTCTTCATGCAAACTCTGGTGAAAGAGGGTGAGCATGTGCTGACAGAATCCCCTGATTCCCCCTACCCTGTGTGGTTTACCACCTCTTTTTGTTGTTTAATGCTCACCTAAAAAATGGGTACATGTGTTTGTCTGCTTAGTTCCCATTGTTCGTATTTAACCACGTCTTAGATCCCTTGCTACCAGGCGAAAAAACACTTTTTATTGCTAAAATGTGTGTGTTTAAATCTCAATTTGATGAAATTTGTGTTGGTTGCAGAATTCCATACAATTCCCCCAATTTTTGCAGTCAAATCCACATATTTTTTGGGAATGGATCATGATTTTCGGCACCAGGGCGGAGCAAACGCCGGAGGCACTGCGGGATGCCCCATGTTTTTGTTGCAATTGGCTGGGGCGCAAAAAAAATTGATCCGACGGATAGCAATTTGCATAAAGACGTAGAGGATGTTTAATATACATACATATATATATATACATATATATATACAATATCTATCAATATCAATAGATATATTTATTTATTTATGTATTGCAGTGAAACACGGCAAATTCTTCAGCGCAGCTTGACAAATTGGACGGCAAAATCATTTCCACTGCTTGAGTTTGTAGATAATCCGTGATAATCCTACGGAATAGGATGATCAAATCTGTGTATGTCGCTTGCAGCTCCAAAGAGAGAGAGAGAGAGAGAATAAGTTTCGTTTAGTTTTGGACCAAGAGAATGTCACCCTGAGTTACGCTTGCAAGTTGTTTCTGTGTTTGCATCGTTTTTGATCAAAGATTGAATGCAAAAGTGAAGCAAAGTGAAGTGCGGACCAGGATACTATGAGAGTCCCGGGTATTGTTGCATGAGAGGCAAACGCAACGGCAGCCTCACAGAAACATTGTTTTTTTTTGGTGCCCTGAAATCTGAGAGACTTTTCCAGCGGTTTCTTCCACCATTTTAAATCTTTTACCTGCAGGTATTTGTCCATAGCCAACCTCATTCTTCACACTCCCGTGTTGTCATGACCGAAGCTCGTCTGCGTGGTCTTCCCTGCAAATCTTCAGCTGCATGGACTCCTCCTTTGACCATACATTCATGTGGCCACATGCAGGTTGTACTCATAGAATCATGGTGATTAATTGATATCTACAAACAAGGCCCAAATGAGCCTAAGGATAATACATCACATCTATGTACGTGTGTAACGGATACCTGTGACCAACATCTAGGCAAAGACTCGCAAGGCCGCGCATGGGCTGCAATGGGTAAACCCAACTCCAACGCGACGTTGAGAGCTGCAGACGTTGATGGATCCCGTGCTTGGGATCCCGTGGGATTCTGTCGAAAGGTCTTTCTGCGAACAAGGCGCAGTGCAACGGCGGCAACGGCAAAGTCCAGAGAGCTGCGGACACAACACCTGGTCAGCGAGCGATGCCTGGCTTCAGGCCCAGGCAGCCACTTGTCAGGAGCCGTTCGCAATCGTCGCCAAAGCATGTGCCTTGTGGAAAAAAATATGTATATTAAACCTCCTCGGTATCTACATATTATAGTTATATATATATACAACTGCTTGATTGGACTTAATGATCATGAATATTCCAATAGCACCCAGTGGTGAATTGTATCATGGTATATATAATTCGTGATGAATTATTAAGTAGTATACAACTCTTTTCCGATTGATTTTACCAAAATTAATCATTTTATGATTTTGTAGTATACCATCATTTTTGATGGATACCAATTATACCATCACTTTTGTATATACCAGTCATTGATGCATACCAATTATTTTGTGATACACCATCATTGCCATGGTGCCATGTCCCAAGACAAATGTCGGCCAGGCGCTCATCACCAAAGTGTCAACCACCACCACCGCGACTTGGCCGGTGTCAAAGCCGTGAATCTGTTGGATATTTCCAAACAAAACACCAATCGAAACGGGTGATGTGAAAAATATCTGGACATTTGCCAGCTGATTTTATGATTATTTGGGATCGGATATATTGAATATTATATAATATTTATATATATATATATATATGAATATATAATAAAATACTATGAACAACGATCTAACAATCTGATATATCTACCATCGTTTCAAAAAGTTGGCAATCTGGCCATGTTTGCAGGATGGTCATCAATCCATCAATCTGGATGATGGCTGATGTGGATGACAAAAAACCACAAAAAAACGATGCAATTTGACCATGGCACTTATGGTTGTGACTGAAAATTGGGTATGCTACCACAATGGCAATTCTGATAGGGAAAATGGACGAGAATGGACGAGAACGCTGGCTAGTGAATGGGTTTAGGGATGTTTAGGGTACTAGGTCACGAGTGGTGCCCTATTTTTCGAGAAATCCCAAAAAGTTAGAGGACCACGCAGCATATTCCTGGCCTAAAAACTGGGGACCCAATAAGGCACCTAAATTGGCTTCCTACAAGTAGTAGTAGGGAAACCCATAGGTAGTTTAGGGGTCTCAGATGGTCTCAGAATGTCTCAGATTTATATGAAATATCTATATTTGCTCATGACATTGTCATGAACTCACCGTCATCACAAGAAAGAGTTGGTGAACCATTCATTAATGTAATTTCCTCTTCAGGTGTTGGTCTTGGTTCACCAACAAGAATCATAACAACCCCCCGAACAGATTCAGAAGATGTTAAATTTAGGACTATTTCAGGATTGGATTTTATCAAATTCTCGACGGAATAGCCCCGCTTTTTTTTTGACCCAATTTACCGCCCTTGTACTTGTACCTGGTGTGTTTGGAGCGGCCCTGATTTTTTAGTGTGTATCGAAATGAGCAGAAACAGAAGGCAAGGTCTGGCTGGTGGTTTTAAAATATGTCTTACCTCAATCAGACCACAGATCCTATTTCTTGAAGCTTGGTATGTCAGTGAAATCTGTGTTTTTTTTGAGTTGAACAAAAGCTAAAAACTCTGAGGTGCAAAATCTCTAAATTGCTGTAGAAAGATGTAGAAATCTTACATCACAGGAAGGGTCAGGCTGCTTCCTTTGATCCCATCATGCTCCCAAGGTGGCCGCTTTGCCGTCGATGACGCCGGAGGACGCAAGCCGTGGTCATGTGAAGCCAGGGGGTTGCCGTTTCCTTGAGCTCAGCGCTGAAGAATTGTGGGGGATAGAAGATTCGCTGTTTCTATCTGTGGTGAAACAAAAGTCGGCACCAGAACTTGCCCTAGCTGATTGGTGGTGACTGGAACATGAATGGATTATGACTGTCCATTCAGTTGGGAATAATGATCCCAGTTGACGAACTCCATCATTTTTCAGAGGGGTAGGTCAACCACCAACCAGATAACATTCATGGGATGTTTAATATTGATAATATAATAATGGCCACAATATTGATATACTAACATTTCATCCCATTAATGTTATAGAACTTGCCATAGATTTATATTTGTGTTTAAGTTTACTCTGTGATTATCCATTACCAAATTTCCAGTCTTCAAGCTGATGAATATTTCATCTTGGTCAAATCAGCATGCAAATGGGCAGCTGAAAACTCCAGATAAAAAATGTGGCTTAAACATGGTTAAACATATGCTTAAATCATCTTAAATCACTGTTACCCTCTGGTCATTAAACGTAGCTAACTGGGAAAAGGGCAATTTCCCAGTTCGCTATGTTCAATAACCAGTGGCTAAATCCTCATGGTTTAGGGTAAGATCAGGCCTCATTTTTCAGGGTGAAATTTGATCCCAGGAGGTGCTTGCGAGTCAGTTGCTGGCTGAAGTGGAGGCACCCTTTGGACCTAGGAAGCATGTCGTGCCATTAAAGATGGCCTTGTTGATTGGTCATGGAAATTGTACTACTTGGGTTTTTAGGGACTTAGAATGAGCCAATTCATTCGGGGTTTCCCTATCAACCGGCTGTAGTGAGATGGCTTTTCGGGGTGCATCCCAGCCAGGATGCCTGGTTAATAACCATGGTTTTGAGCCACTGATTGATAGGATATCCCCATTGATATGGCTGTAATATCCACTTACGATTCGTGGGATGCACATCCAAGTGCTCAAAACATGGGATAGTTTGCCATGGTACAAATATGTATAAATGAAGAAGACTATGAATGGTAGACGGTTGGATTTTTTTTCTAACCAACACTAACCAGAAAAAAAACTATTTTTAGTCCTTGGGGGATGGTTATTGTAACTGTGGATGGGCCAGCGAAATCCGATAAACCACCAAAAGGATGGTTGAAACCCTATAAATAATGGAAAAAACTAACAGTCAACTGGTGCAGGATCTCGCAACCATCCACAGAAGGATTATTAATATTGTATGGATGACCATAAACTATATTCATATAGCAAACTATACCATGCTCTCGTTTTGCTCTCTATACCATGTTTTGACTGTAAGAACACACCTGGGCGTTGCCTGAAAATGGTGAGGTACATGCTGATTTACTGATCAATCAAGGGATTGTTTTAATGATTTGTTGTTAGGTGCATGGTTTTTACAAACCACATGTTCACAGCCATGTTTTATCTTCCTCCAACAGTCCATGTCAAAACATGGCGATGATTTGTTGCCGCAGGCCTTTTTGGTGCAGAACCCCGTGGATGCATCGGTGTGGATGCCTGGGATGATGGGATGGCGTCACTTCCATGCGGACTGAACACCATTTAAGGTCTGTTGTGCGTTTTTTCTTAAAAAGATCCATGGGGTACAATAAAACTACCATCAAACATATGTGGAGATAGTTGAAAAAAGATTAAGATTTGTGAAACTAACAGTTGTTATAAACAAATAAGCACCAAAAATAGTTGGTTGCTTTTTGAGCTTTTTGGTTTGGTGCTTATTTTTGTATCAACTCTCAGCTCATCCCATCCCAAGGGTCCATCCCTGCCGGGAGGCGGCTGAACGCCTTCGAGAGCTGTCCCAAGATTTGCAGCGGCAAGTCCTGGACAAGGGGGACTTGAGGTGCGACTCTGTCAGTTACGTGGCGATCCCCAAGTGGATAGCCCAACTGGATACCCTCCGGTGAACAGCCACAGAACAATGGAAAGATCCACCCATTTTTAATGGGAAAATCCACTATTTCTATGGCAATTTTCAATAGCTATGTTAGTTTACCAGAGGGTACTCTAACACTTCGCGAACTGGAAATTCACCATCTTTAACTTCGGTAAATCAACGAACTTTCTATGGGCCATGGCTTCAATAGCTATTTTGACATAACCACAGGGTAGAAACTGATCTCCCAACGAGGTTTGTTTGAAATGGAAAATAACCATCACCAGTGACCAGCAAAAGATGATTCTGCTGGTGAAGATTGTGAACCAACGATTGACCATTTTTTTGTGATCACTGGACATTTTGATGCCATGAGACTTCGACACGCTGAAAGAAAGATGATGATTTCACCAATAAAAATTAGGCAGCGAAGTTGGTTGAGTTCAGTAGGTCAACTGTTAGGTTTATGATAGATATGTCAAACTAGTTGGATGGATCGTTATAAACCAGCATTTCACTGGGGGCACCACTTTGTGGGATGATTACGAAGATAAATCTTGCTGGGAACCACTGTTTCTACATGTTTTCTTGACCACCCGTTTTAGACAAAATCATGTTGGAAATTAAGGTTCTTGAGTGTTTTTTGCGAATAGCCCCGAACGAGTTTTTGAAAAGTAGCATCCTACTAATTTATAGTAGGAAGTTGTATACTGCTTTATCTTTTTGGGTGTAACTATATTCTAAACTGGTTCAGGGATGATCATCCCCCACCAATACATTCTGGACATATTCTTCAGCTCAACCAACCAGTAAAGATATAGTAACTAGTAATTCTGTGTCCTTTTTTGGTTCTAAAATATCTCCATTCTTCGGATTTTGTTTCTGCCCAGCTCTTCAGGCAAGCGCGAAACGCTTCGGCCGTCCTGCTCGCACGCATCAAAGAAGTGGAAGGTCAAAGCGTCGCACAGGCGATGGGTGCAGAAGCTTATGAGATTCGACTTGCAATGGAACAAGATGGGATTTACCCTCTGGTTATTTAACATAACTGGAAAATCACCATGTCTAATAGGTAAATCATGATAAATCATCCTAAATCATCGAACTAAATGGGCAATGTTTGTCAATTGTTCATAGCTATGTTAAATAACCAGAGGGTAACCATTCATGAACATTATAACCAAGTATGATCTGGGGGGATTCTAATGTGTCTTATTTTCAATCCTGGAAATGGGATGATGAGACGAAGATTCTTCAGATGGGTTGAAACCACCAAGACGTACCACCTTTGTACGGGTGAGAATTCCTGGCAGAACCCATTTGTTTGTCATGTTTTTTGCTTGGACAATCCCATTTTTGGGATGCCCAACTGGATACCCAAGTTTGACCCCATAGTTTCTTCAAAGCCATGGCACTCATAGTCTCCCTGCATCTGGAAACTTCTACCTGGAGGGTTGAAGCTGGGACGGGAGGCATTGCGCAATTCCCAAAAAATACAAGCCCATTTTAGGTCAAGAACCTTTTGCGCGAAGTAATTTTCCGTGAAACCTTTGATAGGTACATTTCTCAAATCTGAACATACTATCTACTGTAATTATCTAAAAATATGTCTTTTGGAAAGGATGATTTGTCATTTTATGGCCATCAATATGTGTTAGGAAAATGGGGAACTTTGGATTTTAAACACGTTACCCCCTGGTTATCAGCCCCGCTGGAGAATCCTGAATTTTGAGTCCCCGGATTTCCCCAGCAATGTTTGATGACCGGAGGCTAAAAATCGATAGACCGTGGCCTTGTCGCATGATTGTCCCTATAAAAACATATACCCTCTATCATCCTAGATCATCATAGATCAGCTATAAATTTCTTTAGGGTGAGGTTTCCATTTAGTGGAAAATAGTTGGCAAATTAACAGTTCGACCCTGAAAATATACGCAATTTTTAGTGGAAACCAGTCATATTGAACCCCGACAACTGCCAGGGTCTATGTTAATTTACCGGAGGGTAAAACTATTTAACATATTGAACTACCGTTGTTGAGGGTTAAACTTCCAAATATCCATCCATACTCCAGTATTCCATTCAATTCTATACTCCATTCATATTTATAATTATAACCATTCATGAACTAATCCCATGATCAAAAAACACCATTCAGCATATAATCCCATGATTATTCAATGATTATCCCTATTAAGCCATATAAAGCTATCTCAAACTATCATATTCCATCCATATTCTGGTTGGTGGTTTGGAACATGTTTTATTTTTCCATACATTGGGAATAATCATCCCAACTGACGAACTCATTTTTCGGAGGGGTAGGTCAACCACCAACCAGATATTCCAGTTGTATTAAACCATCCCATGATTATCCCATCATTGTGTTATCCCATGATTATCACTATTAAATTATTAAGCCATATAAAACGATCTCAAACCATTCATCTTCCATATTCCATTCATATTCACAATTATAACCATTCCATTCATATGTCATATTCCATATTCCAATTAGACCATCCCATCATTTCAATGGGAAATTCAGGATCCTAAAATATGTTGTGGGGTATATTGCCTTACATAGTCCTAAAAAGTATACCAAAAATATATGGTAGGTAGCTCCAATTTAGGTACCTGAAATGGCCATTGATTATATATCAACAATTATATTATATTATATTATATTATATTACATTTATTATATTATATTATATATATATATTAATATTAATATTATATTATATTTATTATATTATATTATATTATAGTTATTTTATTATATTATATTATATCATATTATATTATATTATATTATATTTATTATATTATATTGTACTATACTATAATATATTATATTATATTATATTAATTATATTATATTATGTTATATTATATTATGTTATATTATATTATATTTATTATATTATATTATATTATATTATAGTATATTATATTATATGTTATTATATTTATTTTATTATATTATATTATATTATGTTATATTATATTTATTATATTATATTATATTTATATTATATTATATTATATTTATTATATTATATTATATTAATATTAATATTAATATTAATATTATATTATATTATATTATATTATATTTATTATATTATATTATATTATAGTTATTTTATTATATTATATTATATTATATCATATTATATTATATTATATTATATTTATTATATTATATTGTACTATACTATAATATATTATATTATATTATATTATATTTATTATATTATATTATATTATACTATATTATATTATGTTATGTTATATTATATTTATTATATTATATTATATTATATTACATTATAGACCACGTTTTTTTCCCCATGGTAGACCCCTTAACAGGTTCCGTTCCCCTCGCGGCTCAGGGGCTTGGTCAACCCGCACCGCCCCCTGGGGACGATGCGCACCCTGGCATCGAGGCTCCACACGGGCAGAAAAAACCCTGGAGTTTGGACGATAAACGATGGGAAAATCGTGATTTCACTACGGATACTACGGGAAAATTGAGATTTCACTGGGCAAAATATGGGAAAATCGTGATTTCACTACGGAAACTGGAGGGGCTGGCAGCCTCTGGTGCAGCTCAAAAAAGACCTCCGGTGTCATCAGCTCCATGGCTAGTTGGGAAATCCCTGAAGATCGAAGTAAATCGGCATCTATATACATATAAAATCATACATATATATATATATTATAGAGGAAAATGAACGAACTATTACTGGATGATTTTCAAACCATGAACTGATTAATAATATGGGCTGATCAAGAGTTCATTAACCACCAACAACCAGTAAGAAGGACTAGTAACTATCTATTTCAATAGGGAGTTTAAATCCACATGAAACTATCTTTACGTGCTTTGGCAGCCCTTTGGATAGGTTGTTCTCATGGCCTATTCTAGTTGAGGGATGCTGACTTCTATGACAACCAACAACCTACATAGAGGGTGAAACAACCAACCAAATGGGGATCAATAAATGAACTGAGCTTGTAGTACTTCCCGCCTATTTGTCAGATGTTGATGATGATCTGCCCCATTGATCACAGAGAACCACGCAAAAAGAGTGTCCAATAGAACAATGCAATATAAAATAAACGATTCACAGATGATCAATAGGTTCCCTTATCCCGTTCAAGTGTTCTTAATTCAAGCATACATATATATATATACATATATTCAAATATATACATATATATATATATAGAAAATAGAATTCACTAAGACTATGACGACTGTTTTTTTCCACGCGAGGCCTTGATCGCCACCTATAACTTGGACGCACGCGCAGCCAACGAGTTGAGGCACCATATGGATGGTTTATCACCCATAAAAAGGGTGATTTTTGGGATGGTTTACTATTGTTTTAGCCAACATTTTTCATGATGTATCCGATATATCCTCCAAAAACCTGCTGATTATTTTTGGGTTTACTTCTTTGCGCCAACATGAATGATCCGAAAATTTGTGGATGATGACTAAGTCTTCATTGTTTTTCGTCCATGTGGTCTTAAATTTTGAGCTCGGCAAGCGACAGAGGTCCGGTTCATTTGTTGGTATTTACCCAAGGTTATTCAAGGTTGACATTCTTAAAGCTGCGACATTGAAGAATGACTGGTTAGCATCACTGCTTAATTTGTTTCATATGTTCAGACATATGTAGATGATGCCAGTTGTGTGTTTTCCCCAAATATCGGCTTTTCCTGTAGATGTTCCTTTAAACCACATCTGTAAATAGAACCAAAAACCAAATGGTGCTTATATAATTATATAATGTTATACATCGTATATCCTTGAAAATTCACACAAAAATTGTGTTATCCCAAATATTCCCAGGACAAATCCGACAAAATCACCCAGGACTAGTGACAACACAGGATTGGATTCCTGCAGTGGCTCTTCATCACAAGCGTGGCTTTGTACCAATTTCAAGGATTCCTCGCACATGATTATCAACGACTGAAGGAAATCACAATGATTATTCAGGACCCTTAGTGAGTTTAGTGTTGAACAAAATTGAAGTGGACAGTTTCGCTGGCTGCATCATGCTCTACATGATGAACTTTTATCATTGTTCTTGACGTGCTGTGCATGTCTCCATCTTCACTCATGAAACCCGCCCATAGGCCGTAGGCCCCTTTTTATAAATTCCCAACCAACAACGACTCACCAAAGAAAAGCCTTCAAGAGATGGGGCAGATGGGAATCCAAAAGATCAATTCATGGGGATTCCCTATGATTTTGCTGGTGATGTTCTTAGTCGCTTCTGGGCGACAACGGTGTAGTCCATCCATTGGGATGATTCTCCCCGTGAAAATGGCTGCGGTGAAGGTCCCTGCCCCGGAGCAAGCAGGACTGGCCACGAAAAAACATCAGACCTGGCAAAACGAAGAGATCCAATACTAAACCCAGCATTTAACTACAAGGTGGTGCCCCATAGATTCAAGATGCGGAAAAAGTAGGTGAACGATTGGATTTGTGGTTGAAAAAAGCATGATATATCTAGCATTGTCTAGCGGATCTAGCTTTCCTTTATGGGCTTTGTGTCGCAATTTCTTTAACTCGGGGGTTCCACTATGGTGATGATTCTCATCACCAGGAAAAAACCGGACGTCGTTGTGGGCAACATGAAGACATTGATCAATCGTCAGACTGGTTGGTGGTCTGGAACATGAATGTTATGACTTTCCATATATGTTATTTTTCCATATATTGGGAATAGTAATCCCAGCTGATGAACTCATATTGTTCAGAGGGGTAGGTCAACCACCAACCAGATCGGTTATCCATATTTAATCATCCCACTTACTGTGTCTCACCAACGGCTGGGATCAATCATCCTGGCGCTTGCGCCTGGCCATCGTGAGGACCAAGCGTCCTTGATCGACTTGTCGAAGGCCAATAAACCTTCGGCCTTTCTCATGGCACATCTGCAACAGCTTCAGGCGCGGCCGAACATATCCATGGGTATCCCGTGGTAGACCCAAATCTTGGTGGATTTTATGGTGATTTTACCAAGCGTAATGGAGATCAAAAAAAAGGAAATCATGGGGATTTCATAGGGTTTGTTAATGGGATGACTAATCTCACTGGATTGGATTAAGGGAAAATCTACAGGAAACCATGGTTTTTACCATCAAATATAGGGCTTTCCTGTAATTTTTCCCATAATCCAATTCTATGATAATCAGCCACTTAATAAACCATTCCCACTTGGAGTTTTTGAATTGGCGAGCTTGGCGAGCCACCCCTAGGGGATGATCTAAGATGACCCAAACCACGTGTGTGATGTTTGTGAACGGTTTATGATTGGGCAACTACCACTTACCACATTAGCAACTACCAGCCGAGAATTTTAGGAAGCATGATTGGCCATATCTTTGAATATCTAAGATTGGCCATGGTGTTGAGAAATCTGTTAAACCCGATGTCATAAACAATCCCCAGTTTTATGCGAATTGGGTGGTATCAAAAAAACACCACCAATAGCAAGGTGTTTAGTGTTGGGTTTACAACATTGTGAAGTCTTCGAAGAGCAATCATTTTGAGCCAATGATTCAATAAGTCAACATATGTAATTATGTATGTATGTAATGTAATGGTATGGTATGGTATGGTATGTATGTATATATATATATATATCACATCTTATGGTTGTCTCTTGCTAACTTATGCAAGCATGCTAATGCAGCTACGATCTAACGAGTGGTGATGCAACTTCGATGGGAAGGAGTAAGGAAAATACGTGAAACTAGGTCGTTAGAAGGACCGAAGTGGCTACTTAAAATGGAGGACAGGGCTTGGCAAGTGAGCTGCTTCTTAGAGCTGTCTAAGTTTTTGACCAAGGACCGACCGTTTCAGAGCATTTTTATGTATTTTTCAGATCATTGGCACGGTTTTTCTGCATACAATGTAGTATCATGTAGTATATTCACAAGGAACTCGTTTTTCCAAACAGCCATTCTGCAAGAATGTCAGCATATTCCCGGGGTCTCATCTTGTAGAGGCCTATCCTTGGCCAAGTTTCCCCATGTTGATTTAAGCCTGTTGTCCATCCCAGAAACATGTTCCCAGTTCTGTAGAGGCTTCGGGGCCAAAAAGGACATTGTCATTTCCTACGAACAGGGCCCCCCAACCCACAGGGATGTATAATTGGGTGGATATGGATACATATGTATATATATATATAGTCTTTATATATATATATAGTTCTATGATATGTGTATATATAATTATACAATGATATGATGTGTGTATATATATATAATTATATGTGTGTATATATATATAATTATGTATATATATATATATATATATCATTATATGTGTATGTATATATATATATATATTTATTTATAGAAATACATTTATTATGAATATATGTATAATGCCTTCAAAGCCAGAAAATTATAGACGCTTATTTCCAAAAATCATTGCATTTATCAATATCTATGCAAAGACATCCCGGCGGACCGGGAACCGTACTCGTAAAAACAACGTGTTTCTAAAAAATCGCATTTTCGCCATAGCGAAACAGACATTTCTGCAAGCCGAACTGTGCCAAATTCTCGGACGAGAATTTGGTAAAATTCGCGTTTCGGGTGGGTTTTGGATTCATTTCATTGGAGCATGTTGACAGGCTTTTTCTTTCTTTCTTTTCAGAGCAGGCGCTTCAGCGTTGAAATTGTTTTTTGCTGGAGATGGGTATGCAGATTCACATATCTCCACTGCCAGCACTTCACATAGAGGAGAAGATCTTTGCTCTTTGAACACAACGAGTTGGGGATGAAGTCTTTGACAGCATTCCATGCGGCATCGATTGTTCCAGTGTGGCAACTGATTTTCTCCATTCCACGCACTAGCGACCCATGTGTCGACCTTCCAGCACTGCGGACCAATGTTTGCAAAGATGCAACACTACCAGACATCTGTGCAGCGGAGCAACATGTAGCGGAAGAAGTACAAGGAAGGTGAACATGCCCCCACCCCACCTCTTCATGACCTCCGAACACACGCACTAGCAACCCATGTGTCGACCTTCCAGCACTGCGGACCATTTCGACAATGTTTACAAAGATGCAACACTACCAGACATCTGTGCAGCGGAGCAACATGTAGCGGAAGAAGTACAAGGAACGTGAACATGCCCCCACCCCACCTCTTCATGACTTCCGAACACACGCACTAGCAACCCATGTGTCGACCTTCCAGCACTGCGGACAATCTCGACAATGTATACAAAGATGCAGCACTACCAGACATCTGTGCAGCGTAGCAACATGTAGCGGAAGAAGCACAAGGAACGTTAACATGCCCCCCCCACCCCACCCCTTCATGACTTCCGAACACACGCTAGCAAAAACGTGCTTTTTACGAGCACGGTTTTCGGTCGGCTGGCAAAAACATGAATTGTGTTCGATGGTTGAAAGATGTTGAAAGAAAATTGGCAAGTTTCTTTATTCAATCTTAATTCATTTTATCTCAGTGCAACAGATTCATTAAAATCCATGATTTAAAATATCGAGAAATAGATTTGTTTGCAAATAGAATACCCCCAACTTACCTGGATGTTTTTTTTTCCTCCCTTCAAATGGCCTTTTGGTGGTAGACCCAAATTTCAGACACAAATCTCAGATTGTTGGTTATATATTCTTATCAGTTAGACCCCTCTGAAATTTACGAAAATCATCAAAAATCCATTCAACATATCGATTTCACCCCAATTTTCCTTGATTTTTTTGACCCTGCTGCACTCCTAGACGTTTGAAACGAGGCCAGTGATGAGAAATTGGGTTTCCCGGGCACGGTCCCTTCGGCGTTGGATTCGATGCTGTGAGCTGAATTGCAACCCCAAAGATGCAGAAAAAGAATTGATCCTACAGGATGGTGCCCCACAATTTGCTATATATATTGGTACGAATAATAATTATTATTATTGTTATAATTATAATGGATAATATATAAATATTTATATATATTCGTAGATCGGACAACTAATTTCATCTAATTTCTATTTGGGAGGTATTATCCTGTATTGAAAAATGATGCCTATATATATGTTTTTTCTATATTTTTCGGAATTCAATATAATTATTAAAAATTATAAAATAATATAAATATAAATATTGGAATTAATTTATTATTTTAAATCTATTTTATATAAATATATTATATTATATACGGGCCAATAATCGATATTAAATGATATTAATAATCTTTATTAGGATTTGAAATTTCTAAATAAATATAATATACATTATGAATTTATGTTCGAAAATAAATAATAATAATTAAATATATAAATTATATATTATATATATATAAT